TCCCCAAAACATTTCCAAAACGGTCAAGGTCTCGTGGAGCTAGGTGAGTTTGTATTTTCGCTTTTTTGCCCTTATGCTCACAACTCCCCAGGACCTTAATTTTCTTTGTTTTCTGTGGTGAAGGGCTCGTTTGGATACCCCCACGCTCCATGAAGACGTTCCCCAAAACCATTTCCAAAACGGTCAAGGTCTCGTGGAGCTAGGTCAGTTTGTATTTTCGCTCTTTTGCCCTTATGCTCACAACTCCCCAGGACCTTAATCTGCTCTGTTTTCTGTGGTCAAGGGCTCGTTCGCATACCCCCACACTCCATGAAGACGCTCCTTAAAACCGTTTCCAAAACGGTCAAGGTCTCGTGGAGCTAGGTCAGTTTCCATTTTCGCTCTTTTGCCCTTGTGCTTACAACTCCCCAGGACCTTAATCTGCTCTGTTTCCTGTGGTTGAGGGCCCGTTCGGATACCCCCATGCTCCATGAAGACGCTCCCCAAAACCGTTTCCAAAACGGTCAAGGTCTCGTGGAGCTAGGTCAGTTTCCATTTTCGCTCTTTTGCCCTTGTGCTTACAACTCCCCAGGACCTTAATCTGCTCTGTTTCCTGTGGTTGAGGGCCCGTTCGGATACCCCCATGCTCCATGAAGATGCTCCTTAAAACCGTTTCCGAAACGGTCAAGGTCTCGTGGAGCTAGGTCAGTTCGCATTTCGTTCTTTTGCCCTTATGCTCACAACTCCCCAGGACCTTAATCTTCTCCGTTTCCTGTGATTGACAGCTCGTTCGGATACCCCCATGCTCCGTGAAGACGCTCCCCAAAACCGTTTACAAAACGGTCAAGGTCTTGTGGAGCTAGGGCAGTTTGTATTTTCGCTCTTTTGCCATTACACTCACAACTCCCCAGGACCTTAATCTGCTCCGTTTTTTGTGGTCAAGGGCTTGTTCGCATACCCCCACACTCCATGAAGACGCTCCCAAAAACTGCTTATAAAACGGTTAAGGTCTCGTGGAGCTAGGTAAGTTTGTATTTTTGCTCTTGTGCCCTCATGCTCATAACTCCTTAGTACCTCATTCTTGTCCATTTTCTGTGGTCCCAGGCTTGTTTGGATACCCCCATACTCCACAAATATGCCACTCAAAGCCGTTTAAAAAACAGTTGAGGTCTTATGAAGCTATGTGAGTTTATATTTTTCGCTCTTTTGCCCTTGTGCTCAGAACTCCTCAGCACCTGATTCTGCTTCATTTTCTGGTTCTGGACTCATTTGGATACCTCCACACACCCTGAAGATGCTCCCAAAAACTGCCTATGAACTAGTTAAGCACTCTTGAAGATATGTTACGTTCTATTTTTGTCTTTTTGCATTCATACTCACCAACTGCCCAGGACCTTCTCATGGTGGCTCATTTTGCATGGCCCTGGGCTCATTAGGATACCCACACACTCCCTAAAAATATGCCACCAAAGTTGTCATGACCTCAATCATTATATCTTTAATGTAAAGGAGTATAGTTACACAAATGTGAAAATGGAGGCAATATATTCATATGTTAGAGTCTGACAGCCAAGTAGAGCAATACATTAGCTACCACCTACATCAATGACAACATAGATAGGACTAAAAGCAAGTGATAACTAAGAAATAGTAGAGTAGACTGGCAAAGTCGTCAATGCTGAGCAGGCAGCTGATCGTGGGAAGAAATCACTTTCGTGGGAGAAAGTCAAATTTCAGCGTTACCGCGCTGAAAAAAGTCTCAAGATCCTGGGGAATAAACGAGTCTCTTCGTAAACTCAGAGGACTCGTAACTGAAATTACATGACTAATAGTCAGTGGTCAGTGGGTGACTGAAGTGGATTTTTGAGCATTGCTCTAATAACATGGCTGAAATCAACTTATATGACTAAAGTAGCAAGAGGCGTAGTATAGTGTTTGTCATTATTGTCTTTAGAGGGTCATGCAATGAAAGTTCTTATCTTTCCACTTGACTACTATCCAGCTTAAACGTGCTTGCAGCATTGTATACTTGCTCAGTCAAATGTACGAACATTTTCACATTTCACACAACTTCTATCGTCTTGGCCAGTCCAAACGTGCTTGTTGTGTCGTCTGGTGGATCATATCTTTGCTCAATCAATCAGGTGTCTCATTCGAACTGTACGCACAAGGCGCATCGTCTTGGCCAGTCCAAACGTGTCGCTCAATTTGTGCATAGTTCCTGCCACCGTTATATCCATCTTTCCGTCACCTAAACGTGTCAGGCCTCAGTTCATCTTCAATCGATCAGATAATGGATAGCTTCACCTAGTATGTCAGGATTTTGATTGATAAGAAGACTTGGACTCACGGATATTAGCAAACGTTCCCGTTTTCCGACTGCACGTACATTGGGCCGCTGCAGTGTATTCCAACAGTATTATCATACCTGGAGTAGCATTTTAGTTAAAGATGAACGCACGTATGTTCTATCCTATGCTCAACACTAATGGCCTTTCAATTGATCACTGTTACTATAGCCCAATTGATCATTCGCAAGGGCACTTGCAGTCTGTCAATGGTATAATGTTCTCTTCACCGAACTGTTCAGATACTGTTAGCGCTCCACGTCCCAGTCCTGATCGCGAGTCGAACAGCCTCGTCATCAATTACCACAACGATCTGTCCTCCTTGGTCAATGATCCTCAGTGGTGGACAGCAAATTTCGGTTGGCTGTCCTTTACACCTAAAAGGCCTTTCTTTGGTGGTGGTCTACTGGGGCGACTGGCAGACATATGTATTGAGGAAATCGAGGGAAAGTATTCAATGCCTGAAGACTTGATAAATAGCTGGACAAAGCTTGAATACATAATTCGCAGTGTCATCGTGATATTGGGGGGTGTGTACGAAATACCTTCTATCGGTCCTGCCTATCCTGCAGCCAGAGGATATCAGAGGCAACATGCTTATCGATCAGTAGCACATCGGGAAGCCCAAGCTTCTCATGATATATTTGTGCTGTGGATTGGCCTATTATCGTTCTTAATAGCAGGAGCAGATAGCTTATCACAAAAGGGCTATGAATGGCCTTCTCTTCTCGAGAATCATTTGCAATTCCATCCTGCCATTGCTGATTTAATTTGGGCATCTGACCTTGGCACGTTCTCACACGAAGTTCAGCGCATTGGAGCGTTTATCTATCTTACCAAAGATGACATCGAAAAGACTCACCAACCTTCTGTTCGCTGGCTAATCGCTCACAACATTCCGATCTGGTATCAATGGGACGTGGACGAAATAGAGTGGGCAAAGCATGACCCAATATTTGCTCAATTTGGTCCCCTGCAAAGTGGTGGAATACCAGAGTCATCTGCAAATCCTCTTGGCTCTCCTGCAACCACAGTCAAAACAATCACTTGGAGAGAATTCTTTGAAAGACGTGATGAAAATGGTCCCTGTCTTTTAAGTCTGGAGACAGCATTGGAGTGTGAAAGACACTTGAATCGAGAACGAAATCCACCCATAAAATCTGCAAAGGTTTTTGTATGGGACCGTGACCCTGAACTCCCTGGTCGAGAAGTCCTTGCTAGTGAACGTATCGAGACTTTGGAGGAATATGGCCCTGAACAGAAAAGATATGATTCCTACTGGAACGAATGGGATTGTTGTTTTGAATTTGGAAGGTTCCGTACTCCATCTCCAGATGAAATGGAAGATGAGCACATGGATATGGCCCCCTCTGCAGATCAACAAGCTTCTGAATATGATATTGATTTCATCCCTCATGAACAACGATGCCCAACCCCTCTACTTGATGATCTGTATGAGCAAACAGATGTACCCCCAGATATCTTTCAAGATGGCCCCCAGTCAACAATCGCCAGCTTAATTTCAGAAGTACAGGAGATCTTGACCCTTCACTATGGCATGGTTCTGCCAGATCTTAACCAAGCCAATCATAAGGAGGTTTCAGACAAAGAGAAGAAATTCTGGCTGCGGTGGATTGGAGTTTGTGAAGAGAAAAAGCTTGAATCTGTTGTTTCTCATTTCTGGCCAACTGCACGAGGCCATTTTTTTGTTGAATTTACATGTCAAATTCTCGAAGGGCAGCAAATCATCTCCGATCTTGAACTTCCAAAATCTTCTTCTTTTTGTGAACGCCTGGATTCTATTGCCTTGTACAGAAATTCTGACACCGATGTACCAGCGAAATGGCTCTATGTATTTTTATTCAATAAAGTCACAGTTCGCTGGAGGCTAGCTGTAACAACAGCCTCTGATGTGTTGCTGGTTTGCCGTCTTGATGCTCAATTTCTGGATGTAGATATTGCACGTTTCTTGGCATTACGTGGGATTCCATTCTGCACTTTGCTGACTGAGCTGCTTATGCCGCGCTCAATATTGTACCCCGATGTTGAGTTATTTCTTCCACAGTGTCCTGCTGGATACCACTTTACCAAATTGGATTATGAGGCATATCTGCAATGTTGATCACGAATTCTTCAATGTCCCCACGTACGGGCAGCTATCCTTCGTGGTGGTTTTTTGTGGCGATTGACAATTGGAAGTGTGAGCATAGATGAGTTGTTGGAAGGACCTGTTGGAGGAGGAAGCCTTCTTGTTGTTGACGATAGGAAAGGATATCCGCCACTTCTCGATGATAAGCTGACTCATAATGAAATGGACTGGATCTGTGGAATGTATGTGTGCTCAACAGGTATGTTTCTTATTAGAAACTCTTCACTTTCTGAATATTCTGGGAAATCAAGGAGTTGCCAAAGTATATTCCAACAAATCATGGTGGCCACCTTACAACATCTTTGACAACAACAATGCATGTGAAAGTTATGGTCACTGGATGAGATGTTGGAATCAACATATGTTAAATGCTTGCAAGATATTCGTTTGGGTGCAGCTCAACCTCTTACAGTATCAGATTGGAGGAATAATAAGCTCAAAGGACATAAGGAAACATGGGAACTCAAATCTATGAGGGAACAGCGAGCTATGGCCTTTTTTGATCATGCATAATAGTATACACGTGAGCAAAAATCAAAGAGAGTGAGAAGACATCCAAATTTGTGTACATATAGGTCACATGTTGTTATGAATATAAGCACTTGTTTGTCCAGTCACGTGAATGTTCAAGTTCAATTGCATAAGTTTTCCATTCTTCTTTCTTGATCTTACCATCATGTGTACTACACGAGCCATTGCTTTCTTCATTATGCCTCTTATCCTCATCAGCATATCCCTGATTTTCAACACACATCATTTGCTTGATGACTCCTGTCATCACTTCAAACCATATATAGAGATTGGAAACAATCCGAGCCTTTTGGCATTTTTTGCTCAACCAGCTGCATTGGTTGAGAGGCACAGCCTTTTGGCACAGCCTTTTGGCACAGCCTTTTGGCACTTGATACTCGACTTGTGCAAGAGGGCCATTGCAAGCATGGCAGATACGAGTCCTTTTTATATTCAGGAAGCTACAATTCAGCACCACAACATTCACATTTTTGATTATTTAGGAAACTAGTCATGTGACCACCTCCTGAAAGCCCATCAGATTTATACCCCTTAACTATATATATATAGTATTGCTATTTTACATTGGATAAAGTGTATATTTCCATTTACCTACAGAGAGTAATAAACGAGTCTCTTCGTAAACTCAGAGGACTCATAACTCTTAACCGTTTTTGATGAAACAAAAACCCAATAAAAGGTAATAAATGTGGTTACAAGGCTATGTAATGCATGTGACCGTTTAACCAGTTGCAACCAATCAAAACCGGTCTTTGAACGGTTTTAAAAGATTTTCCATCCAAGCATGCAAGATCATAATTCCACCAAGTTGGAACTTGTCAGGTGAGTGCCCTTCGCTGGCCATGTAACTCTTTATCTGCTGAAACCAACCTCTCAAACTTCTCTTTCAGAACAGCACTATCATGAACACAGCGAGCAAGGCCAGCAACCTGCATGATATTAAAAACTGCATAGGAGGTGGAAATGAAACTCACCTTTGGAAAAATCTGAAGAGCTACTTTTTCTTCTCCTGAGTCAATGATAATCCCATTGGCTTCCATTTGCTGAATTGCCTTCTCTCTCAATGTCTTTGCCACCTTTTCATTGTGTACTATTCGCCCCTCATCATTCTCTGCTTCATCTTCCTCAACATCTGCCTCTTCAATGACTGCAATCTCCTCCTCATCCTCTGAATCATCACCCTGTTCAAGAACAATTTCCTCTCCTTCACTAAAATCCTCAACCTCTCCTGCTCAACGAAATCCTGCACCCACATTCTTTGTACTCGCAGCAACTTTGACACTCTTCTTTCGCTTTGGTTTTTTGAAAAAGAAGGATATAAATATCTGTGAATGAAATGAGGCTGAGTTAATAAAATATTGAGAAATATATATAGCATTACCTTAGCAATCAAATTTACAATGTGAGCCAGACAGCGAAGCCGAGCATCTTCTCCCCAGAATGTTGGTATCATCCTAGGAAGTACCCTTGCTAAGGAATCACAATTTGATGCATTATCCATGCAAAGTGAAAACAGCTTGACCAAAGATCAGAAATTGGATAAATAGAGATCAAAGAAATGCACACCAGTTCAGTAAGACCAAAATGTTTCAAACAATCAAAAACAACCTGGGCTAAATACTCTCCATCATGCCTTTGTTTGAGGCTAAAAAGTGAGTCAGTTTAAACTAAGATGCTAACCAAGTTATTTATCCATACCGTATAAATTCCAGTATTGCACGATGAGTTGAACCATTCTGATACCAAACCACAACAAGCCCAAGATATGATGAGACAATTGGAGAGGTCCAACCATCAAGTACAAGGTGGATAGCACTGTTTAGTGACTGTCCTTTCATTAGCAACTTGAATTTATTGGATGAGAAAAAAAACAGTACCTTAAAGTAATTCTTGACATGAATTGACATATCAAGATAAATTTGATTGAGATCACAGCTGATCATGTTGGGACTCTGAGCTGCAGTTAAGCATTTGGACCTCCTTCAGATAGTCAGGATCAGAGACCATGTTAAATGGATGTGCACTGGTAGCACAGTGCTGTGCAAGTAGAGCTCGATGACCTGGTACAGAGTTATGAGTCCTTACGAGTTTACAAGTAAGACTCATTCTTTATCAACTGAGGACTTAGGCAAATTTTTCATTCATTGATTGATTTACCTTTCATCACCACAGGAACCTTTTCTCTTAAACAGAAAAGTAGCCATAAAATCAGGAAAAATGGCAAAAAATGTGTAGAAAATCAGAATATTGTTTAGTAAGTGAGGGAGGCTGTGTTCAGGGTTCAGGGCCCATATCCAAATATAGAAAGCAGTCTGAAAAATGGAAACAGATAGGCAGAGAAGCAGTGAAAAATAAGTGAAAAATGAGCATGGTATTCACCATTGTCATGATCATGAATGGGTTGTGTTCAGGGTTCAGTGTCCATGTCTAAAAATAGAACAAAGCCAAAATGTATAAAATGATTATAAAGTAAGCCAAAAAAGGGGAAAAAAATAGGAATGATATTTGTTGTTGTCATGATGTTGAAGGGGCTGTGTTCAGGGTCCATATCTAAATATAGACAGAGCAAAAAAACAAAAGAACTCAGAGAAAATAGCTGGAAAATGAGGAAAAAGTAACTTGTAGACAGTAATTTCTTTATCATTTTCTAGCTATATTTGGGTATATTCCCATATTTGGAAGTGTATCCTGGATCCTGAATACAGCCTCTCCAATAGTATAGCAACATTAAATATCAGAAATGTGATTATATCATCTGACTAGCCTTCTTTCTTATGCAGATATTGGTTAAAATACATGACTCTTTTCAAAAAGTGTCCAGTTTTTTCAGTATTTTGTGTTTTTCTCAATAAGGAATGATCTGTGTGACATTATTTTTATATATTTGTAAAGCTAAGCAAGGGGCTACAATTGTTGTTAATAAAGCTAAGTGAGAGGCTGTGTTTCTGGTACCATGGGAAAATTGACCCAAAAAGGAAATTAGTGACAGTTTTACAGAGCATGCTGTTATATTTCTCAATGTGGTCACAAAATTATGAGTCCTTACGAGTTTACGAGTAAGACTCATTCTTTATCAACTGAGGACTTAGGCAAATTTTTCATTGATTCATTGATTCATTTACCTTTCATCACCATGGGAACCTTTTCCCTTAAACAGAAAAGCAGCTATAAGATCAGGAAAAATAGCAACAAAATCAGCAAAAAATATCTAAAAAATCGGAATATTGCTTAGTAAGTTGGGGAGGCTGTGTTCAGGGTTCAGGGTCAATATCTAAATATAGAAACCAGCTAAAAGTTGCCAGAAAATCAGAAAAAAATACCCAAAAATTAAGAGTGATCTTCTCTGTTGCCATGATGTTGAAGGGGCTGTGTTCAGGGTTCAGGGTCCACATCTAAATACAAAACAAAGTAAAAAATGGCTAGAAATTTAGAAAAAAATAAGCAAAGAATAACAACAATATTCTTTGTTATTACAATGTTGAAGGGGCTGTGTTTAGGGTTCAGGGTCTATCTATATCCAAATATAGAAAATGTATTACATTATGAAATGTGATTATATCATGTGACTAGCATTCTTTCTTATTGCAATCTTGGTTATAATATATGCCTATTTTCAAAAAGTATCCAATTTTTTCAGTAAATGTGGGAATTTTGACCAAAAAAAGGAAATTAGCCACAAGTATATAGAGTATGTTGTTACAGATCACAGAATGTAACTAGTTATCTTCTTTTCTCAGATATATGCAAATAAGATGGTGGGAACATTTCACCATAAGTAGAAAAATAGTCATAAAATCAGAAAAAATTGCTAGAAAATTCAACAAAAAAAGGCTGAAAAATAAGAATAGTGCCCATGGTTGCCATGATATTGAAGTGGGTATGCTCAGGGCTAAATTAGAGTCCACAGGAAAGACTCATATATGCCATGCAAAGCACTGGCCCACACCCAGAAGTCATCGAAAGAATCATTGGAATCAAATGGATTTCGATGATTATGTAGGTCTGGCTCCCCATCGTCATAAAGAACATTGAGCATATCCACATCATCATTTATATGGTCAATATTTATTTGACATGCTTCTTCAATATCTTCATCACCGCATTCCATAGCACTGAAAGCCAGTGTTTCAGTTGATGATTCACACTCAAACACTTTAAATCATAGATTATTATATATATTTATTATTTTAATTGCATACCATGATTGTGGTTTTGTTGTCTTCCAAAAATATCTCCCATTGAATTGTACTTGAAAGTATCAAGCCAGGGTGGTTTTACAATGACAACTTCCATCAAGTTGGGTCTAGCGGTTGGTTGCCTTGCCTGTACGATGGCTTGGCTAGATTGGGAACCTAGATATTGAGGTCATGATCATCCTTTGATATTTAATTAAAGTATTCTCACCCTGTCCTGTTGGTTCCATTCTACTTCCATATATCGACAATGCTTCATAACTGTTGACCAAATAGGCCAAATGACCTTTGCCTTCAAAGTTCATCAGGAGTGGGAAATAACTGATAATTTTAAAATATATTCATGTTTCTTGGGTTTATTGGCATTACTGCCAGACTCTATTCTTGGTTGTTTATTGGCTTTACATGTAGAGATTAAATGAGAATACCAATATATCTAGATATGAAAAGTCGTACCTTTTGTTACTCCTTTACCCTTTCCTTGTAATGGCTTTCCTGGGCCTTTATAAAACTGGTTTCGAAGGGTGTCAAAAGCCGTGAGCCCATCCTCGTCCAACTCGTGGGTGTGGGCCAGTGCTTTGCATGGCATGTATGAGTCCTTTCTGTGGACTCTAAATTTAATTTTAGGAAATTGGTCATGTAATCACTTTATAATTTTCTGAGTTTTGTTCTATATTTGCAAATAGACCCTGAGCTCTGAGCCTAGCCATCAATATCATAGCAACAATGTGTGCTATTCTTATTTTTCCTTTTTTTTTTTTTTTTGATTTTATAGCAAAATTTCCCAATTTTATAACTATTTTTCTGTTTATGGTAAAATATTCCCACAGTCCTGTTTGCATATATCTCAGGAAAGAGGATGGTTAGTTATATTTTGTGACCTATAATAGCATGCTCTATATATCTGTGATGAATTTCCTTTTTGGGTTAAAATTCCCACAGTATAAGAAGCACAGCCTCTCACTTAGCTCCATAAACAACAATTGTAGCCCCTTTCCTTACCTTTATAGATATATATAAATAATGTCATGCAGACCATTCCTCATTGAGAAAAACACAAAATACTGAAAAAATTGGACACTTTTTGGAAATTGTCATGCATTTTTGACCAATATCTCAAAGAGCAAGAAAGCTGGTCTCAAGATATAGTCACATTGCATGATACGACAATGTTTTTACATAGTTGTCTTGATTTTCCATATTTGGATATGGACCCTGAATAATGGACACAGCCCCTTCAACACCATGGCAACAGAGAAGATCACTCTTAATTTTTGGGTATTTCTTTCTGATTTTCTGGCAACTTTTAGGTGGTTTCTATATTTAGATATTGACCCTGAACCCTGAACACAGCCTCCCCACCTTACTAAGCAATATTCCGATTTTTTACATATTTTTTGCTGATTTCTTTTGCCATTTTTCCTGATTTTATGGCTGCTTTTCTGTTTAAGGGAAAAGGTTCCTGTGGTGATGAAAGGTAAATTAATCAATCAATCAATGAAAAATTTGCCTTATGTCCTCAGTTGATAAAGAATGAGTCTTACTCATAAACTCGTAAGGACTCATAATTGAGATGGAATAAATCTGCTTTGATCTTCAAGATGGTCAAACCATCTGTTCCATCTTCCATGTCTCTTATGTTCCACTTGTTCATCAAGAATCTGACTGTTCAATGTGGAAATTTCTGTTATAGGATGCAGTGAAGATGTGGATGGTTTGCAAGGTAGTGTAGTTGATTGTTCAGTACCATTTGGATCGGCCTCGGCACTGAAAGGTGTATCATCATAGACACATGATGGCACATCTACACCCCATGTTGATGAATCTTTGCAAGGTATATCAACGACAATCCCATCCTCTGTACCCACCCAAGGGCCTAAGGAATACTGCTTCCCATCATTATCAATGAATGAGAATGCACTTAAAAATGTTGTGGAGTCTATGTGGGCTCCAAGCATTCGAGAAAGTTGACCAAGCAGAAAAGCGCAAAGCTGTAGTAGCAAGCACACAAACAACCAAAAAAGAGATTTTCTTTCCATTATGACGATACCATCAGATGCCCAATTTGCATAGTTCGAGGTAGGTGGCCGCTGTGAATTCCTTTGAAAAATTTATTATTAATGTGTCTCTCATAGTAATAAAAATCCTTACATTTGTGAAGTGATCTCTGGCCCAAGCATCAACAGACCATCTTGCTGAGCTCGTCCAGGTAATGACGCAAGAGGATATATATATGTGCCTGCAGCAGATATCATAGCTTTTGGTGGGTAACAGACTGTCATGCAGTGGATTGCATGATCTGCAGGTTCTATGCCCCAAGGTGCAATTGGTGGTGTTCCACCATGTTTCCATAAACCAGAGAAGCACATGACAAATAGTGACTCCAACACAAAATAGCACCCAAACCCTAGAAGATGAAACCGTCTGGGTTCATATTCTTCTGGCAACCATGAATTTGCCACCATGCATGTGCATGAGCCTCTGGAATCACACTTATCAGTATGTCCTATTCCAAAACCACCCATCCCAGGTAACCCTTCATCTGTGTCATGATAAGTTGATTAGTTATCATTGGTTTTATGAAAAAGTTTTGGCCTACCTTCGCATTCTTCTTGCCTAACCGCAGGAGCCAAATTAATTTGATGAGCAGGTGTTATAATATTTTCATTGGAGCCCACCCGAGGCATATTCATAACCTTGGCATTCAAGGTGACCGCCTCAATATATTTTTTTGGCACAAACATCTTCAAGGATTCCATAGCAACTTGCCTGTGTATCTTGTATAGATTTAACGAAAAAGAACAACATATAACCAAATAGTCACTCACTTTGACAGATCGCTTCCAACCAATGAGGTCATCACTCCATTCAGATTCCTCCTCATCTGTATAAATTTTCCCTTGCGCTGTTGGACCTACTAAGCCCCTGCTATGTTGATGGGTACACATTGTCGAGTAGCAACAAGTTCCCTTAACACCCTTGACACCGGTGTGTTCAATTGCTGCACCTCCAATGTACTTGCCTTTGTCATTTTTGGTTGGCAGATTTCATGTCATTTCTTCCAGTTTCCCGAGTATAATCTGTTGTACAGCATATAATTCTTCAACATATGATGGATTTAGAAGATGTTTGCTAACAAAACATTAATATGAGTTTTATTCATCGTGTTGACAATAATACAATTTCAACTTACCCCGCAAAACCCCAGCAATTGACAACATCATACTCCGGCATCTGAAGACCTGTGTCGGGATGCTGTGGGCAATTTAGAGCCCGAGTGTAGATCACCGTTCCATCCCCCAAATGAAGGAGACCTGTGATATTTGGTATCAACTTTTAACATGAATATATTACACGAAATAAACTTGGAGGTAACTTGCCATGCTCATCCATGTAAGCATTTGGGCCCAAAGGAATACCTAAAGTATCCTCCCAGTCCGCCAATCTTCTCAACACAGCAGGGTCTGTATCTATCACATAAACTAATATATGTTTGGTCACTTTGACCACCTGCATATTGTGCACAAGCGGATGTGAAGAGACTTCGTAGAGATAAGGAAAGTGATCATCACAGTGTTTGTCATAGACAAGACGACTGTTATCTACAACAAAACATTTATCCTTGGGACCATCAGCCCGCATGTACTCAGTTTTGTCCAGCAGATAGAGCTTCGGCATCTAATTTGGATATTTAGTTGACAGCACACATAAGACATGACCCACTCACAATGAAAGGAAAGGTAACATCACTGTGTCCAGGTGGGGGGAAAGGAAGAAAGGGGGGGGGGGGGGAAAGACCCCATCTGATGCAAAGGGTCTGCCCTAAAGATCTCACAAACCATAAAGGCACCATCAAGGGTCTCGGAGATTTGTTGCTTCGAGTGGCCTTTGGATGACGCACATTCGTTTCCCATCAATGCGATTGGGAAACAACTTTACCCCTGGGAGGTGTGTGTATTCTTGTTTTTATAGATTGAACTTACCTACTCACTGATTAGTTTGAATAGATGTGCAGAATCTGCACTTGCAGTTCTCTCCCAACGGCCTCACAGCCCTCATCGCCCCCGCATACTGTGCTGGAGTAAATCCAGTATTTTACAGCCAGCCCTGATGTCGTCAACACCACCATCAACATCGTCAACAATGTCATCCAAACCCCACTTGCTTCGTCTGCCGCGGGCGTTGGCTGGTCTCCACCCCCTCAGCTTTGTTTAACCCAACTAACTCATCGCCATGGGACGTTGTTTAGACACCAAACGACATTCCAAACTCCCCTGCTTTGTCTGCCCCACCCCATCTGTTTTCATGCTGAACGATGTTCCAAACCCACCTACTTTGTCAACATTGTCGCCGTCCCCAGCCCCGACATCATCAATGCCGCTACATGTTGACGACATCAACAATGTTGTGAACGCTGCCATCAACATCGTTGACAATGCTGCTGCACGTTGACGATATCAACAACATCATCCAAACCCCACTTGCTTCGTCTGCCGCAGGCGTTGGCTGGTCTCCACCCCCTCAGCTTTGTTTAACCCAACTCATCGCTGTGGAACATTGTTTACACACCAAACGACGTTCCAAACTCCCCTGCTTTGTTTCCCGCCCACCCCATCACCATGGCACATTCACAACATGGCCCCTTGTTTGTGTTTCTTCCTGGTTATCTTATTACAGAGCACCTACTGTATCATACTTTTTTGTATTGAAAGAGCAAGTTGAACTTTATTATGTAATTATCATAGATAAGTCAAATGCCACTCGCAATTGAACCTTGGCTCGCAAACTCACCACAGAATGACTGCTTCATTGATCCTCTGTACAAACCTTCAAGCCCAGTGTGATAGAGTCTTGGTTATACCAAACCTGTTGTGGGTTCAATATTTGCTTTCTCAAACACAATAAGGTCTTGATTATTACAAACTTATCATCAATGGACTCCATTGAGGTCAGAAAATCTAGTTGCTAAACACTACATGGACAATCCATCTCTATAAGTGTTGCGATTTTCGCATATTTCACCATACTCAATTCATCATGCACTTTAGTGTTACACCTTGGGACATGGCTGCTCCCAGTGCACCCTGGCGTGAGCCTTATTTTCCAGAGTTGCACAGCACCACAGCTGAAAATGAAAATGCATGCATATTTGTTAACAATTGCACTCCATCTTTACTAACTAGTATCAACCCTAACCCTAACTTGGTGGTGTAAGTCTTAACCCTAGCTTGTGGTCAACCCTAACCCTAACTTGATGGTGTAAGTCTAACTTTGGTAAACATTGTAGTCAACCTTAACCCCAGCTTGCAGTGAACACTAACCTAGCGAACCTTAACTCTAACTTGGTAGTCTAATCTAATTGTTGTAGTCTTTTCTACTCTATCAGTAGACTTTGTATTCTAACCCTAGCTTGTACTCAGTCAGTGTCAGTTTCCCTTTTAGGGCATACACCTTCCTTTTTTGGTCATTTTTCCCACAATACAATAATTGTAGCCCTTTCTTTTAGCTTTCTAAATGTGTTGAAATTATCTTGTTTGGTTTTGTATTCATAGAGAAAAATGCAAAAAACACAGGGCTCAGAACAATCTTTTACATAATATCTCCACAATGGGAGTACTTTAAAATATAATTTGACCAGATTCAGTAAGCTACAGTGTAGGGCTACAACTTTTAATTGGTCATGTGACCAACATCCCAACATTCCATTGGATCGACCCTGATGGGTAGAGACATCTTTATCTTGTTTTTCTTCCATTTTCATCAAACTAGCTGAGATTTCCTTTTGTGAAGTGTACTCTGAAAGCAGTTCCTAGCATTTTCTCAATCTCCAAGCTCATCATTGGAAGCAGCAAGCTCCTTACAGCCCCTCTAGATACTGTAGGCCAAAGCTGCCTAGTCTGGCAGTTGCTAGCTGTGATGCTAGGCAACTACCCATAACTACTGGCTTAAACATGTTATATCAGTGCTTGAATATATCTGCAGAGGCTGGAAAAGGTGAAAAAATAGCTCAGAGTTTTTTATAGAGTAAGGACCCCAGACACTCCTGTGACTCTGGAGGAAAAAATATATACATGACATAAAAAAGATCTTTTCAGAACAAGAGAAAAGATCTTTTGTGTGACAGTGGATAAAAAATAATATGTGACAATGAAAAGATTTTTTTGCAGTCAGGGAAAAGATCTTTTAGTGTGACAGTGGACAAAAATAAATATGTGACAATGGGATATTAAAAGGATAATTCTGATTGTGTGACAGTGGACAAAAATATATACATGACAGGAAAAAGATCTTTTTGTATGCAGGGAAAGGATCTTTTGGTGTGACAGTGGACAAAAATTAATACGTGACAGAATCATTCTGAAAGGATCTTTTGGTATTCAGGGTCCCAAAAGATTCATCCACCACCTTACAGTAATCTTAGCCAGGATCATTTGCCATTTTATCCCAGCTAGTGGTTAGTACTTGGAGGTTGACTGAAGTGTTTCTCAGCTACTTCTATCAATGTCGAGTGTGTGTTTAGCTGAGGCTGCATTCTCCTGTCGCATCTCTGCAACCGGCTATCTCCTCAAACCACTTGCTCTCTCATGTGCCTTCAGGCATGGAGTCTACTTGGTTATGTGAAGGATAAGGATGTGCTCTCAGTTATGCGACTGCCTGAGACACACCAATGTGATTGTTGATGTTGTCAAACCTCCATGCAAGAAAGCAAAAGTGGAATAATGTTCTATATGCTGTCATATTTAGCTCTTGTTATATGTCATGTGCACCTTGTACAATATTCTCACCATCATCTTGCAATTAATATTGTTCATTGCTATTCTTCTTTTCAAAATTTGTGAACCTAAATACTTTGCATCCAAGCTTGTCATTGTTTGGCAGCACAATTTATCACAAATATTTATTACATTCCATTTTACTCCTCATGCACATCAACGTCTTTATTCATCCAAACCTTCAATTTTTTGATATCTATTATGCATCAAGCATGGAATATTGCAGAAGTGAGATCATTGATCTTCACACAGGTTGATTCACTTTGCGATCTGGTGCAATTAGCTGCTACTTGCAAAGCTTTTACAAAACCTGCCACTCTAGAATTATTGGAAAAGCAAACAAGCATTGTTCGTCTGAAAACATTGATCCCTCTAGATGCTCCAGCCCTTGCACCTGTTTGTATTCTCATTTTATTTTTGTTACTTGGATTACTCATTTACACTACTAGAATTGGGCTGCCTTCAATAAAGTTGCTGGCTCTATGACTGCTATTAGTCACAATCAATCTAAAGGCATCATTCAAGACACAGCTGATGTCCGAAAGTTTGCATTGTCTGTTTGTTTGGCTGTGGAACATAATCTGCTTCCCAGAGACATGTTTAAGCATCTCACTACTCTATTGTTGTCCATAACACCCAACTGGCCTCTCTCCAACTTCTTACCATTCCTGTTGGCTTCACCTAATCTTTACCATCTGGTATTATCTTGCCTTGGGTTCTCTGAGGCAGATCCTAAGTTTCAGGATGCTATGGCTAGTCTTCTGGACAATTGTCCCCTCACTTCAGTCACCCACCTTGAACAAGCTATTAGCCTTGAAACATATGGGTATATATCCAGGCTAATAGGTTCCTTGGCCGTTTATTTTTTTGCCTCTGGAGGAAAATATATTATTGCATTGGGCAAAAATATTTGACCTTCAATATTGTGACTGGAAATATTTGGGTTGATATATTGCATTGAAAAATATCCTAGCCATCTGAAAGTGGTCGGAAATGTTTGAAGCATGTTAGAGTGGTAGGAAATATTTGAAGTGTTTCAGACTGGCTGGAAATGTTTTAGCTATGTCACACTGCTGAAAAATGTTTTGGTCATGTCACACTGCTAAGAAATGTTTGAGCCATGTCACACTGCTGAAAAATGTTTTGACCATGTCACACTGCTCAGAAATGTTTTAGCCATGTCACACAGGCAAAAATTTTCCTGCCAGTGTCACGGAGTATCTGGGGTCCTAGTTTTTAAAAAAAACTTCAACAATTTCTGACCATTCAAACTTTTATCTTCTGGATTCAACTTTTCTACAAAATTTATCATAAAGATAATGTTGGTCCTAAACTTGCCCTTTTACTTTTATATTGTATTTTTATTATAGAAACAGCAGATTATATATTGCATGCAACTGTATCTATTGGTATTCAGCTATTTGCTATATAGTTATAGCCTCTAAATTCTGCTTCATCAGATAATAAAGGTTTTTACTGACTGCTCTTATATTGAGTTTATATTGGTAATTGCCTATAATAGACTAGCCCTACTTACTGAATCATTACTGTTGTCTATTATTCATGCAAATTACCAGAGGTAAATATGGCTGATGTGCAAGCCATATTCTTCACTGCAGTAAACCTATGTTTCTGAAAACTAGAGAGAGTTCTGGGGATTGTTACATTTACTATGCTAGCTATATTTTCTCACTCCCATAGAGGTATGTTCCTGAGCACTGGAGAGTTCTGAGGATTGTCAGAGTCTGATGTTTCATGTAAATGTATATGTGGTGTATTTGTGTTTGTTGACTATAATGACATATTAAATATCTTCTTTGAACACCATCATGACTGCCAGTACTTTACTGTGCCTCACCTATTTCTGCAGAAATGGCTAGAATCCTACAAAATTCTGATCTCTCTATTAGAAATACTTGAATTTTGTTTTTTAGATATGGATTTTAGACCTTGACAACAGTACCCAACAAGAAGTCCTATTTTTTCTCATTTTTACCATATTTTATAAATGATCTTCATTTAAAATAGTAATATTTCTCATTCGAAAAGGCAAAATGGACTCTGAAATCAGACCTGCAATATTATGACCACCAGTAATTACCATCTACATTGTCCCCAATGTTACTCTCATTTTATTGCGATTTACTGGGTATATTTGCACAAATTACCATATTTGGAAATATGCACAGGTCATGTCCACCATGCACCCACATTGTCAATAACAATATTCCTGACAATAGTCTATTATTTTCCTCTTTTGGCTCTAATTTTCTGGATATATTTTTATGATTTACTATATTTGGAAATATGCACAGACCAAGTAAACAGTGCACCAAGATCTATTTACATCACATGATTTTTTTTCATTTCTCTAATTATATTTGTATTAATTACTATATTAACAAATATGCACAGGCCATGTATATACCCAATATCGTCAACAATGGGTCCATTTTCTTATTTTTCTGGCTATCTTTGTATCAATTACTATATCAGAAAATGTGCACAAACTATGTTCATAGTATGTCAATATTGTCAATAATAGTACATTATTTTTCTGTTTTTCTTCTAATTTTCTGGCTATATTTTCGTTAATTACTATACTTGGAAATATGCATAGACCAAGTAAACAGTACATCAAAATTATCACATATTATTTGAATTTTTATTTATTTTTCTGCCTATATTTATGTTGATTACCATATTGGAAAATGTGCACAGACCCTGTATATTGTACCCCAATATTTTTAACATTAGTTTATTATTTTTATTTTATTTTTCTGATTTTCTAGCTTTATTGAATTTCCTCTATTATTTTTTCTTTTTCTCTTCAATTTTTCATGTGGAAATGCAATACTTACTTTATTTTGCAATTGTAGTAGCCACACTATTCTGGTGTAAATACTAGATAAGTGCCAAAATCTTTGCTGGCTATCACATGATACATCATATGGTATGTCACATGATCAGACCATTTGAGGGCGAACTTGGCCATATCTATGGGGGGAGGTGCATCAGTTCCATCACCCATCACCTCCGTCAACCTCAGGTATTCCATAACCAGGTATTGCCTGGTCCTGCCTTCCTCGCTGCTGTCGCCTTGATGAAAGCCTGGCTATCAGTGTAACTGGTAACAGTTGACTTTCCCACCTCTGGTTGGCTCTGTAACATCCAGGCAGCAAGGATGGAGCCAACCGCTTCTCCTTCGTATGTAGTGTGCTCCTTGAGAGACCCTAAATGAAAACATAAGACTCTTTCTGGTTCCTCAGCCCCCTTCCTATATAAGACTGCAGCTGCTCCCACTCCTCCCTCATATCCTGATCCATCGGTGTAAATCTTGATGTCTGAGACGTCCGCTGCTTCTTCCTTGATGGAGGTTTCCTTTGAATCCGCGATCGTCGCCATGAATGTTCTTTTGTACGTTGGTGGGCGTGTGTCTGGCCTGATCGTTTCTAAACGCTTCGGTTTGACCTTGAAGCATTGGATAAGTTTTTGAAGAGGGGCAAGGTGTGTTTTTGCAGGTGATTTGCTGTATCCCCAGATTACGTTCCAAAGGGGGTGGCTGCGTGGTAAGGTAGCTGTCCGGATTATCACTGAGTGACATATGCATTCGAGCATCAGATTCGCCGGTAAGACCCCGGCATGCGCATCTAGCAGGTCATTCGGCGAAGTCCATAGTCCCCCTGTTATCGCCAGTGTCACTATTTGCTGTATCTTACCCATAGCCTTCTGTGCTCTCACCGACCCATAAATGAACCTTATCTTCATTCTATTAAACATTGGTATGGGTATGGGTGCCCTTGTCAAGCAACGATGGCAGTTGTGCCTTCCATTCAATATGGGGGTGGAAAGATTAGCACAAACTTGAGTGAAATAAAAAATTACATCACTCCATACAGTCTAGAGCTACAGAATGCGACCTTGGATAATTATAAATACATTGGCTAGTTTGTGCTTCAAGCTGCTCAGGCTGAGTTACGTAAAAACCCTGAACTGCTTATATGTTATATGCCATTGGAATTATTAGAGGGAAAAATATCATTGGTTCAAGCGAAATCCATTGCAAAGATGCACAATGTTACAATATCAAGCAAATCTCCAGTTGCAGAGGTCTTGGAGGTTTTAACAGCACATATGTGTTCCTCATGATGTTCTCAATTTTATACATTGTTTGCTCTGGAGAAACCAGCTTTGACATCTTCTGAACGTCAAGCTAAGTGGTACAAGGGTCTCAGTAAAGCAGACAAGAAAAAAATCATTAAAAAAAAGTACATTAAGTTTTTAAAAGGTCCAACATGTAAAATTATGAGAAGTAAAGAGAATAAGTCTGACACTGATTTCCCACCTAAACCACCCTCTAAGAAATTAATTCATAAAATAATTAGTGGATTCTGTGAAGACACACTCCCTTCCAAACTTCTTGAATCTGGATGCACAGTTTGTGGTCAGCTAACAAAATTATTGGACATGTTAAAACAATCTGATACCTCAAGTAACTTAGAGGAAATCTATGAGGAATGAGTTGATGAAGACATTGAGGAGGCTTATGCAGCAGACCTAGGAGATATATATTATTTAATCAATTCATGTCTAGTGGTGATGCAAATTCCAGGACAGAGACACTGATTGAAGAGCATAGTTCATTGATCAAGGACTTGATTCATCTATGGGCCTTGGTGGGATATCCAATAAGCTGGAAGGGTGGTGCTGTAGCGTGTACAACATATACCAAGGTGTTGGCCAGAAAAGTCATAATCCCTTTAACATAACATTATCATTCACTGCTATTCAAAACATAAGTCACAATCCCTGAAAAGCAGCAGGTTGTTTGAAGGATCAAGTTAAAGCTGCTAGGTTCAACTACAAAAATTCAGGCTCCTGTTCCACTTTCACCATGCTTATGTTGTACTCAAACTCTTTTGATCAGCATGGTTTTACAGTTGAGTGCAAAAAGAATGAAGGTTGGTTCACTTTTCTGGTTCTTTCTAAGAATCTATTGTACCTCAAATGTATTTGTGTATTCTTTTACATTATGTAGTTGTGTTACACTTCCCTTGGTATGGACTAATTTCAGTGAAAGCTGGAGCCTTGAGAAGGTTTTTATTCTGGAGGCCATTTTTGGCATCTGAAAAAAAAAATATGTGCTAACTGGGGAGGTAGCCAGAACATACCTCTGGTCAACCTAAATGAGCCTATCAAAGAATCAGTCAAAAATACTGGGCAGTTAGGTCGTAGAGGCTTTGGAAAATGGCTTGTTTTGTCTAAAACAGGCCAAAAATGACCAAAATAGCACAAAATGACCATTTTCTGGAGGCTCTACAAGCATAACCACTCAGTATTTTTTAACTAATTCTTTGATAGGCTCATTCAGGTTGACCAGAGGTATGTTCTGGCTACCTCCCCAGTTAGCACTTTTTTTTTTTTTTCAGATGCCAAAAATGGCCTCCAGAATAAAAACCTTCTCAAGGCTCCAGCTTTCACTGAAATTAGTCCATACCAAGGGAAGTGTAACACAACTACATAATGTAAAAGAATACACAAATACATTTGAGGTACAATAGTTTCTTAGAAAGAACCAGAAAAATGAACCAACCTTCATTCTTTTTGCACTCAACTGTAACCTTCCCCATGACAGGGATATAGCAGACTTTTTCAACAACTTCCTGCCCAAACTACAGACACCATCATGTGCAAAATGGGGGTACCTTGTGAGAGACACCCAATATATGCCCATGGATGGGGTAGACAGACAAAGTGCTTAACAGCTGCTGATAGGTAGGACCCCAGAATGCTTCAAAAGCCAATCACATTGTTTACTTTCAATACAGACCTGACCCCAGCTAGTGATGGTAGAACCTACACCATGCAGTGGCAGTATTTCATAAGAACTGTTCAAGAAGAGCAATTGAGCTTCCTTAGAAGAACATCCTGGTCAGATTCTCAGCTGCTATGTTTTGGGGCTACTCAGCCATCATTTTGCTAGACATATTCAACAGGAATTTCTTGGGAACAAAACAACCCTAAGAGAGACCTGTTTATACATGAGACTGGCTCCTCTCAGTGTGAGCATCACAGTTGTTGATTGTAAACAGTCTCTAGGATGTGTAAGTGGTCCCTATGATGTGCAAGCAGTCCCTAGGATGCACAAAGAACCACCTAAGCCAAAAGGTAGAATAATTGAAAAGTTATATTCTTAGCCAGTGCATCCTATATATGATACAGTATGGGAACTGTACTAATCATGCCATGATCACATTGATGCTTCAATCCTACCATCCAGTCCTCAAGCCCTGGGTTGGTTACAAAAAGAAATTTGAAAATAAAGGAGGCTGCAAGAAATTAGAAGATCAATTCAAAGCATTCAAATAAGCTCCACATATCCCACAAGTTGCACCAACTCTGAAATCCTGCAGGTTGCACTGGCCACTAATGCAGTAAAATATTTACCATTTGAATTGAGGGTAACAATTGGGATAATATTTTCAAAGATCACAAGTGAGTCAGTTTTATTCTCAGAAAGTTGAATGTCTGATTCTCACATTTAGAAAAGGACACATTCAGAGAGAGGGGCATGTGGAATGTATAATGTGTAACCACATGGCTATTTTCCACTAAAATTGATTGGGGTAATATTTTTCAATAGCAAAAAAGTTGTATAGCAACCTTTCACATTTTCAAATGGATACACTGGTATAATGGGATGGAGGCCCAATAAGGAGATTATTTGCCAGCATATCTCCTTATATAGTAGAATGGTCCTAGTGGAGGAAAAGAATCTTACTGTGACTTACCCAATAAGGCAAATTTCCTTTTATATACTTAGGTGGTGCATCCCACTGTCATGAATTTTTAATATGGTACAAACTGTACAGCTCCAAAAATGTATGAAGGTGCACAGGGGTAAATCCTGTTTATTGCCCACCATCTCTGTGCTGTGGATGATATGGCCATGATGCCATCCTTCCTCACTCATCCTCCTGCTACCCATGTTCAGCATTTTTAGGCCACTCAGTAACTGGGTTATCTTAATAAAGTCCTGGTTTGGTCAGGTTTACTGTACTATTTCATTCAATTTGGCAGGGCCTGTGATGTGTTACTGCCCAGCCGAAATTTTAATTTTAGCACTTGCAAAATTTGGCCATGAGAAGGCCAAAATTTCGGCAGTATGGTGCCACAGGCCGCAAGATTTTGCTATCTTGAGACTGTTACGACAAAACAGTTTTGGCACAGGAAAAATTTGCCCATTACAAGTGTTACATTTCGGTGATTTTGGAGGCTGTGTGACACATTACTGCTGAATTGAATGAAATAGTACAGTAGGCCCCAAAATATGAAGGGGTTAAGCCAAATTTTTGTTCAGTAACCACAGGGTTGATTTGGGTTTGTCACACCAGACTATCAGAGCTTTGTCATCACTGGTTGCTGCTTGCCATTTCCAATAATGAGCTTGACTAGATCTTTCATTTGTGGCTGTAATTTGGTGCACTCTTCAATTACTCATAGCTAGCACTCAGATATAATGTTTCCTCAACTTTGTTCAATGGTAAATACTTTATAGTTGAGGTAAACAGCCCTGCTAGTTTGGGCCTCACAATGTTAAACAATGCTGAAGATGTTTTGGCAACATGTCATGCAACATGATGAGAGACCAGAGAATTCCAGAATATGTGACAAGCCTCACCAACTCGAGGGCATTCGTGAATTGGAAATTCTGGCACCATAATTCCAGTGATCATTTACAGCAGCAGTTTCTGCCTTCATCACATGTTCTTGCTTAGTGCTTAGTTCACTATGTTTTTACTCCTAATATATGTAAGTAGATATACACAACTGCCTTTTTGTAATACTCCTTCTTGAGTGGATTGTTTGGACAATTTATAACCATACAACAGTCATTAAGCGATAATTTTGCAATTAATTTTGCAATATGTACCAACAATCATCAATAACATTAGTGCACACTCCCAGAGAAGCTTCAGGAAATTTCATAATAGGCAGAGGCAGAATGGTGGGCAGAATTGCTGTGTTACTTTGAGGGATGATGGATCAGTTGTGGTTGGAGGATGTTGTGTTTGAGGTGGCTTGCATGTGTTTGAGGTGGATTGCAAGGCATGTGAATGTCACAACACCATCTAAGGTGAGGTGTCAAAGTGCCAGGTGCACCTTGAGCTTGTTGAGGATGTTGGTGGCAGGTAACATTGGCAGTGATATGTTGTGGATGCACAGTGCACAGTGCCACAATACAGGGGTTTCAACATGTTGCTTTAGCAGGTCATGTTTTCTCATCACGGAAACTGCTGCCATCATGCATGCCATGACCAACTCAGTCACATTGAGTTGTACCTTGCAAGCCAAACTGACCCTCATCAAATGGTTCAAACCTGGTTTTGGGTAGGGATAACTCGGTTACTGAATAGCAGCCCCCCTCCTCCATGAATAGCATAATCAGAAACACATGTTTGAGTCTTCCTACTTGTTTATGTACCTCATCTTAGTTTGCTTGACAAATTGTTTGGATTATCAGAATGTCAAAGATGGGATCACAAAAGGGATGGAGGGTTGAGCACTGAGCTGGGTGACGGGGTAGTGAGAGGGGAGTATTCAAATATTCATGTTCTGTCACTCTGGTGTGCCACTTTTTGCCCTCAATCAGCACATAAGGTACACCACCATTTGTTCAAAATGCTGATGGCATCTGGCATGAATCTCCGCTTGACAGATTACTGATGGAGGTCGCCCCGGCATGGAGGGCAGGTGTGTCGGAGCTTGGGGCGTAAATGTTAGAGCCAGCGGCTCGACACCTGACCCACAGGTTTTCAACTCTGCTCAGGAACACCTGTACCGCCAATTTTCTTCGGGCGACGAAATGATGTACTTGAGATACAAATTATTCATAGTAAGATAATAAAATGATACATTGAGCACTTCCAAGTTCTTACAGGTAGAAAAGACACGGAATCCTGAGCTCAACATGAAAAGGCCCGTGCGAGAAACTCTCCAAAATTTCCCCAAGTCGTTTAAACTCCGCCCTATGTTTGGTTATTTCCAAACTTCAACCAGAACCAAACTCACCTTCCTCTCCACCACAACCGTCTCTCGCCCAGTTGCTTGCTTGCTCCCCTCATTATTTCTTGTTTTCATCTGTGTTCCACTACCAAGTGGTCTGCGCCCCATGTAATCCTCCTCATGTTGTTCCATTGGTTGTCCTTGTTACCCACCCGTGCGTCTGTGCGCGGTCACCACCTGTCACTGTTCTGGGCTTTTGTTCCTGCCCATTGCCCCTTTGTAGTTCCTCCCCGACAAGTGGCCACTTGCTAATACTGACTCTCCCGGACAGGTTCACTTTCGCATGCGCCACGTAGCGGCAGCCGCAGTAGACGCGCGCCTATCACCATCATCAAACCCAAGCTTGGCTCTCCAGACAACGTCTCAACGTGGTATCCGCCCTCCGCTACCCTCCTCTCATTCAACAAGCCAGAGGCTCCGCTTTGACGCGCCTTGTTTGTGGTTGCGCATTCGGCGGACAGCGCAAAGGGTGGTCGGGTGGGGGAATGTTTTTTGAACGGAAGAGCAGACACAGGTAGTAATTGGAACTGCCTCATTTCTCACATCCTTCCATACACCCTATACCTTTGTACTATGCAGCCTGTTTATAATCCTTGCTTATGAAAATGTGGTGAACGTCATCCTCCTCCTTGCCCCTTGTATTTTATGGACTAAATAAGAACATGAACACCTACATAGTACAAATATGGCCAGGGAGAAATATTGAAAATATAGTGAATTTACGTAGGCTGGGCTGCCAGCTGGTCCCCAGCTGCCCCAGACAGGTAATGCCAAGATCGACCTGGGCACACCCTGCTATTAGTCGGATTTCGATCATGGTGTGGACTCGGATCATTATTGCCTGACAGGTGGGAAAACATGCCACACAGGGTTTGACTCTCAGGTTTTTCTCACATGCCTGTCATTTGGCGGTGTAGGGACATACATCTGTCTCTAATGTCACATGATGTTACAGTCACACTCCTTTTATATTCACAGGCAGTTTGAAGGTGGAAGATACGGGACTGTAGTTGCTTTAAGAGCAGAAACTCAAAATCAGCTCCCAAGAGATTATTAGAATTATTACTAGAAACCTATTTACAGATTTATAGAAGCTAAGATTATGATCTCATGGAATGGTATGCAAAATACAATACTTATCTACAATTAGTGTTTGAAAGTCCGGTTCGGTCCAGTTTTTTGATGCCCAGGGGCGTTAACCGTAACCGTAACCGGTCTGCCTTTTCCCCAGAAGTCAAAAGACCAGACCAGACCGCAAAAAACCGCAGTCTGCAGTCTTTTTGCGGTCTATAGACCAGTTTCAGTCTGCATCGGTTTTAACCGGTTTATGACCGGTCTTTAGGCTAATATTTTAAAATTATGAATCGGTAAATTTATTAACATCTCTATTAGCTTCAAAACGAGCTTAAGAACGTCAAATTCCGTTAGGAATTGGTGCTTCTATAAAATAAGTCTGGTACATCTATTATTCCCAAAAGTAATTTACATTTTAATTCATATCTCTCTCGTTTTTTTACCAAATCGTATGTTCTTGGGTGCGTTTTAAAGGGTATTTAAGGGGCTACAAAAGACCGGTCCAAACCGGTCAAGACCGGTTCACGTTAACCGGTTTTTTTACGGTCTTTACATCTCAAAAATAAAAGACCGTAACCACAGGTCTGGTCTTTTGCGGTCTTGGTCTGGTCTGGTTACGGTCTTTTTCCAGTCATGAGACCGGACTTCCAAACACTATCTACAATAAGTATTAAGTAGCCACAAAATATGAACAAGAAGAAGCAAAGATTAATGCAGCTTGGCCTTTTCCATGTCTTCCATAAGACTCTCTGGAAGGACATGGTGTCCACAATATTTTCTAGATGCCCAAGCAGCTTCACTGCCATTAAGGCCTTTCTGGTACACATCCATAAACCACCTGGAGTGATTTGCAAACCTTTTGGTATATGTAGTTTAATGTAAACAGCATTATAAATAAATTTAGCTTACCTGCACATTGATTCAAGTGGCACCACATTTAACGCGGCAATGGCTTCTTGCAATGACTCAGGATTGAGGCAATAGAGCCGTTTTGTGTACCCCCAACACTGCTTGATGAAATTGAGCTCGCAGTGAAATTTGGGTAAAGAAATAACCTGAAAGCCTTGATTCTTGCAGTAAGTTTCCAGTGTTGTCTCAACATGTGTGAAATCCGGTTGGTTGTACAAAATGTGATGGCAGCAGCAGTCAATTGCTGGAGGGGTGCACTTGAACCAGTGCATGGGTGTCCATCTGGAAAATAAAGGGGTTGGGGTGTACCATCCTCAAATTGAATCTTGATCTTTTCTGGTGATCCATTTGGAAGGTACACTGGCTTTCCCTCTGCATTGTCATATTTCCGGTGCATCCAGGGAGAATTTGTGGATTTCGACGTGATGCGCCACTAAATTTACATGCTGAAATGTATTTTTGATACCATTTGGGCGCGACACAATTTCACACTTTTTTTTTCTTTTCGCGTTGATTCACAACTCATTTTGGCACAAACTCCTGGTTTCCAATTTTTATCAAATATTGTTGTAAGAATATTTTAAATGCATTTCTGTAGAACTACTGCTCAGAAAGGAAATGTCACGCTTTTGCACGTGATGTTAGAGACGGATGGATGTCCCTACCTTATGAGTCACGGAACTAAAAAATAAATACTTACCTGTCATGACGCATCGACACCAACATCGGATCACCTACCATGTCATTTAGAAAACTAAGACACCCTCATCTCAACTTGTCGACATCCAACATCTACGCGTCACCGCTATGACGGCCATTGTCGTCCTCGACCCACTCCCCACACCGCGACCAGACCACAAACGTTACACAAACCCCCCACCCACCAAACTCGGGGTATTCTTCTGGCGCTGGCGGGTATGGTTCGAAGCGACGTTCGCACTCACCGTCATGGAGCCTTGGGAGCAATCCGTAGCTCGTCAGTATGGTTCCCCCTCCTTCGTTTCTCTGGCTGACACTCACCTTTGATTTTTCTTGACGCCTTATCGCTTTACGTTGGTTCCCGGGCTTTCTTTCATCATGCCCGATCGACCCCGGCTTGACTTGACATTGACAGTGGCGATATACCTCGTTGTGTTCGTTCTCATCCTCATGTACCTCGTGCTCTACCTCCCGCAACACATGGTGGTGATGCAGAGGCGGGCAGTTTATTATTTATGGGGCGAGGAGGGGGATGAGAAGGTTTGGTGGTGATTACCAGGTGAACGGGATGGAGGAAATGAGAATTCAATTTATTTTCGAGTGAGGGTTTTTGAAATTATGTTTGTGGAGTGAGTGTATTGACGCGCACTTGACTACTATACGCGCCAGACAAAGTGCTCATTTCAATGAGTTACCAAGAGGCCGGGTTCCGTTCGAATACCTTTGGGGGCAGCTTACCCTATTGCTAGTACGCCTGGACTGGCAGAGTGAACATCAAGACGAATTATTAGGCAGACAGGCCAGCTGCGTGCTGTGTAAATAAAATTGTTTGGACATAGTACATACGTGTGCCAGAGTTCAAATTGAGGACCGGAAATATCATCCCGAATGAGCTGACTCTTGTAAATATTTGGAAGTCGGGAGTCAAGGCCGCCTTCCGCTAAATTGCAATGTTCAAAGCGGCCAAATCAAACACCAAGAAATGCATAATATTTCATACAAAGCCGTGGACAACATTGCGGAAGAACCATATCAAACTAGGTATAAATCGTACACGTACATAACACGAAAGCAACGACGACAAGGGAGGGTATCTACTGGTACTACTATAACTACAAGGCATGTTACACAACAGAGAAAAAGCAATTAGACACAGCAATCAGCGCAACAGACGAGCAAGCAGGTAAGTGAATGAAAGTGAATGAAAGAAGGTGAAGTGGTAAGCACAGGCAACCCAAGAGAAAAAAACCCGCCATAGCAAAAAAAAAAACCTAACGCATTGCGAAAGAGCGAGCGAGTCCTTGACACTCAGATAGAACTCGACCCCCTCCTCAAAATGACCATCAACCCATCACTATGCGCCGAAAATATCGCGTCCACCGCAAACTGTTCCTGGTCCTCCTCAGCCGGGTCTACCGCATTTTGATTCTGCGAAAGTAAAGACGTAGGATGATTCTGTGGTCGACGGCCAAGTGGTGTATGCGCGGTACGTCCTTCACGGTGCCGCGATGATAGCGAGGACGAAGAGGAAGAAGTTGAAGACGTTGAAGGCCGTGATCCCCTCGAGGTCGTCGATCCTTGTCGTTCGCGACGGGAGGGCGCGGGTTCCGGTAACCTCGATCTAGTTCGGTTGAAAGAATAATAAGCAACAGTGAAAGGAAAGGAAAAGGAAAACACTAACATCGAATCTCTCCCCTCCGTAAGCAACGTAAACCTCCCAAACCCAAACCCACCATCACTAGGCTGACCACGTTCATTAACCCCCCATCCCTTCACACAGCTCACCCAGCTTCTAACAATCTCGTCATCCCTCCTCGCAACAAAATCGAAGAAACTCCGGCCAATAGCGGAAGTGGTGGATAGGAAGAGGTCGTTGGAGCAGTAGAGGATCGTACAGTTCACCGTAAACCTATCAAGGATGAAAGCGGTGCGAAAGGATTTATTGGGGAGGTGCGCAAATGATATTACGCGAGGCGGAGGAGGGGGGGAGGGGCTGGGCGTGCGGCTGGAAGTCCGCGGAGAAGACGGGGCTTCGCCTGGGGAAGCGCGCCACGAGGATCTTGAGGTGCCGGAAGATGAGGAACTTGATGATGAGGGTGTTGGGCTAGACCCCGAGGTGGGAAGGGACCGAGAGGGGAGAGTCGGACTGGGTGGCATTGGGGATGGGTCGTGCCATCGCTTGAAGAAAAGAAGGGGGGGGGTGAAAACTATGGAAGGCGGATATAGGGTGACGCGTACCCTGAACTCAAAATTCATAGCGCTGGGCGTGATGACTTCTATCTCTTGTGCGGTTGAGGCGTTGTGGAGGGCTTTGGCACCTGGGCTAGCGAATGATACACTGCCTACTAAGACATTGTGCACGACGGTTCTACAAAGAAAAAAATTAGTGTTGTTTCTTTGGTAGCTAGCAGGGTACGTGTGCGAACCGTGACTGCGAGGGGGGTCAATAAAGATAAGACTGAAAAGGAAAAGACTGACGATGCCGCATAAGATGTAACCCTTGTATGGGTCTTTATGTCGGAGACGGAGGTACACGAGCACAGCAGCCTTGTCGAGCTGAATGGTATCACTACGCGATGTTGTCAGTAAAAAGGCGCACAATGGATGGAAGAGCACGGACTAGTGAAGTTTCTTGACCCTCGGGAACTCGTCTGGATGTACCAACTCGAGTGATGATCGACCAATGAGCTCTTTCGGTTCGAAACCTAGGCAATAGTACGGCATAAGTGACCTGTGAGAAGAAAGGGGAGAGATTGCGCACCGAGGAGTTCCGTCACCGAGCCAGTCATGTACAACCATCGTGCCTAAGTAGGGAACGTATTATCAATAAGGACTCGTATACGCAATTGCGATCCATGCACCTCTTGAGAAAAGTCGACGATACCGACTGTATTTTGAAAGGTTAGATAGAAAATACACGAGAAATACGGAATGGACTGACTGAAAGAGAGACACGGGGTTGCAGAGGATATTGGCATGGAGGGGAAGGGAGATTGAGAGAAGCTTCAGCATTCCAAAGGATATTTATTTAAATATCAATCGAGATCCAACACGATCTAATGCACACAGCCACTCTAAATACTGATCTCGATCTGCCTAATCTCATTTTGATCCAAGTTTGTCCCACAACATGTGGTCAACCGCACCCACTGTAGCAGCTGGAGATACCGTTATTATCTGGCTTGTAAGCCTTTCTTTTTTCTTCTTACAAGCTAACAACAAAACAAAAACAATAAAAAACAGACAAGAGACCAGATCCAACCACTTGTCGTCACACCTGGCAAAGACTTCAACTCAAAATTTGGGAATTACAGGCAAGCAGACTTTGTCGGTGTCCCATACGGGAGCAAAGTCTCTGCAAGAACTGGAAAAGGGTTCCTACACATCCTACGGCCAACGCCTGAGCTATGGACCATAGCCCTTCCTCACAGGACACAAATCCTCTACATCGCAGATATCGCATTCATCACGTCCTATCTCAACATCAAACGTGGTAGTCGCGTTATCGAAGCAGGTCTGTGTCTTTTTCTACGGGTTCTATTTTTTTCTCCTCACTCACCCTCCCTCCTCCCTAGGTACGTCTTTGTTCCATTCTGGGAGACACTTTTGACATATTCCATTCATTCCCTTACATAGGCACCGGATCGGGCTCCTTCTCGCATTCTATCGCACGTACCATTGGATCGGCGGGTCATTTGTACTCCTACGAATTCCACGAGGCCAGGGCGAGTAAAGCCAGGTAAGCCCCTCTTTCCTTTGGTGTGGCCGATGCATCGCGCTCGAGGGAATCGTGATCTGCTCCAACGCCTACATTCTCCCCAATGACCGAGGATCGTAATCTATCCCCCCAGCGTCGTATCGTGATCTACCCCCTCCCCCTAACGTCGTATCATGATCTGACCCAACCTCGATCTGTTGCGAATCTCTGCAGCCACTTCCCTAATCACTCGTAACTCACCTACTCACCAGGGACGAGTTTACCCGCCATGGAATGAACGACTTTGTCACCCTAACTCACCGGAACGTATGTAAAGACGGGTTCACAGTCGTCGATGAGGTGGACGCCGGTACGCTCTCCATCGTATTCCCCCTCCACACCTCTAATACCGGGCACAGTATTCCTAGACCTCCCAGCCCCCTGGGAAGCAGTCGAACATGCGAAAAAAGCACTCCGAGTACGTTCTGTCCCCTTCCTCGTCCATTGGCTAATACGAATGAACACAGAAAGACCGCACGACGCGGATATGCTGCTTCTCTCCATGCATGGAACAAGTCCTACGCACCGTAAGCGCATTGAACGAATCTGGGTTCACCGGTTTGTCTCCCTCTCCCTCTTCCTTGTTCCTCCCCCTCCTAACCAACCATTTTCAACAGAAATAACAATGTACGAAACCCTGCTCCGTCCACACGAAGTATACAATTACCCCCCTCTCCAAGACATAACTTCCATCGGAGAAAAACTCAAAACAGCCGAAGCGAGGAGGGAAGAGCTGCGCTTGAAGCAGATTGCGTCGAATAGGGCTTCTGCTTTAGCCGCTGCCGCTAATTCAACTCTCTACTCTACATCTCCATCTTCATCAGGACCCACGACGAGTAGGGGGACAGCTGCACAAAAAAGAAAACGAGAAGAAGAAGAGGTAAACGGAGCTGAAGAAGAGGCGGTGGATAAGATGGTGGTTGTAGTTGATGAACAGGATCTACAGCCGCAGGAGGAGGGGGTGGGAGAGGTGGAGCCGAAGCGCGTGAGGTTGGACGATGAAGAGGATGTGGTGCTTGATGACGCTGTGCCGACATCCATTGCAAGGCCGAAACCGACGAGTACGAATGTGAGCGTGCGGATGGGCGTGTCGAAGGCGTCGCCGGAAGTGAGGGGACATACGTCCTACCTCACGTTTGCGTGCTTGATACCTTTTTCGCCGGCTGTAAAGGACGATGAGGGTATTAAAGAGGCCGGCACGTCGAGAGAGGCGAAAGAGGAACTGGGGACTGGAGTGTCAACGGAGATAGAGACTACGGAGGCAGATATGAAAGTCTAAGACTGATATATGATCTAAATACCGTACGTTTTCTTTTCCTCTCTAAATCGATTACTCAAAGTCGTCCTGTACAAGAGGTATTATATAGTACAATAATGTATCGTCATCCAAAACAAAAATAAAAAGGGATATCTATAGTATCTCAGCCATCTACAAGTCATCTCCATCTACAGCACGTCTATACGTTTCCTCATTCTCCCTCTCCTCCTCGATCTGCGCACGAGTTTTCGACACTCTTGGTCGGAGTGTCCTGGTTGGGGCAGGTATGGCAGGTTTACTACTACCGGCAGTAGCAGTCGAGCGAGAGCGTTTACTTGGTTTCTCTTTTTCCTCCTCTTCTACAGCATCGGATTCATCCGCATCAGAGTCCTCCCGCGTCCGAGCCCGTTTTCTAGGCGTAGATCTTGCTTTGGGTTTTGGTTTTGGTTTCGGCTTCACGTTACTAGTGGCGCCACCATTCCTGGTGATCACTCTCGCGACTGTGGTAGTGCTTGCAGGCATAGTGATCTTGGCAACCTTCTTGTTCGCTGGTGGCGGCGGTGGTGGCAAGGGTCTATACTCTCCATCCCCTCCATCAAGATTCTTCCTCCGAGTCCACGTCTCGGCATCTTGATCGCGAATAACAGCCTGCAGCTTCCTCGCAGCATCTTCAGCCAACTCCTGCATCGTCTTCGGAATCCTACTCTCTTCTTCTTGCATACCAACGTCATTCGGAGTTTCTAGTGCATCGGACTCTTCTACATCCATCATCTCCAGGTCGTACGTCGTATAATCTGGAGTACTCTCCGCTTCTAGAAGTTCCAGATCTTTTCTGTCAACAGCACCTGGGGGTGGGGGTGTAGAAGGTAATCTGACGTGCGTGTATTTTGGTAGATGGAACGCCTGCACGACATCGTCTGCACCCACCAAGAATCCGCTGCCGTGCGCCTGTAGATTATAGTTGGTTAATATTATTCGAGGGTAGGTGGATAACAAACGAACATCAGTTGACGCCCCTGCTTCCTCCCCCAGTTGCAGGTCATCATCGCCATCAGCAGCAGCAGACGCACCAGCACGTTGTTGCGTGTTCGCACTCGTGCTGCTGGCTTGAGTCTCCTCTGGCTTCGATGCATACTGTTCCTGCAACCGCTGCCGTATCCGCAGACCCTGCACAAGGCGCGTCCATTGCTTGAGTACCCTTTCCTCACGCTTTATTCGGGCCTTCTCTTCCGCCGCTCGTTCCGCTTCCCAGTATGCCTGATGTGTTGCCGTAAATTCGAATCTAGAGAAGTAGATGAATCCGGACGGACCTGTAGTAAGGCAGCCTCGTTTTCAGAGGCGATGACTACACCCTCGATTATAGGAAACGCTCGGCGTTTTTTGAACTCGAAACCTGTCTGTTTTTACGCGAGAGATCAAGACCAGAAGATCCGTTTGTGTGGAGTTGTACGCACGACAGCCTCTGCAAAGTCGAACCCTAATTTTCGGGCGATTTTGGCAACGCGTTTAACTGGGTCGTTGTTAACTTAGGGGATGTGTAGGGTAGACTTGAATCTTACATGGAACGTGCACGCCTCCCTCCGGCAGCATTGAAGGAACGTAAAGGTCAATATTGCCAAAATTGTTCTTCGGAATTTTGCCCTGTTAATTTTGGGAGTCATGTCTATCATCAACCTGTACGAAAAATAGACCACTTACATCGACGATAGGATCGGGGACATAAGGCTCCGTTTGGAATCGCGCATATAAGCCCTGCATTACCTCACCACCCGTCCCATGACCATTTTGATTCCCCTCCCCACCAGCTTCCCTTAACTCTTCTTTGAGCACTTCAAGCTCTCTCATCTTGTTAACAGTCCCCGCTCTCACTTTCGCAAGCTTCAAAGCCTGCACGCCTTCCCTCACCATCCTTCCCTCACTGCGCATCCAGACCTCCGCCGTCTTCAACGTGACAACGGAGGTGCGGGGGTAGACAGGCTCTCCACGGAACTTGCCTAGCTCTGGCGTGCCAGGTGGGGGTGGATGGATCGTCTCGTTGTGTTTTAGATGCCGTGTGAGGACGTATCTGTGATGCGAGTCAGTCAGCGGGAAGTTTATGCAATTGACCAAAGGGTGACGTACAATGGATGATCTTTGAACCCAGATATGGTAGAGGGCATGCCCTCCAGCATCTGTGCGGCTTCCAGCTCTTCGTCCTCCAAGTCATCTCTGTGCTGTACGCCCCCAAGTCGAGATTAGAACCTGACAAGAGAGTTAGATGAATGCGTACCAGTCGATATGGCCTCTTAACAATATCCACAACCCGACGCCACCATACGTGTCTCGCTTTACTGCCACCACCACTAGCGCTTCCCCCTTGCACCTTCGCCACCTTGGAGCCGTATTCCCGGGCATATCTCCTTGTTACGTCCCGAGCGTACCCATCTTCCTCAAACGCCATCACATAGACCATGCGATTTTCCTGTTTCGTCTTCACCTTCCTAGTCGAATCACCCGTCGTCGCCTGGGCCGCTGGACTGGGATCGAAGACTTTTCTCCTGTTGATGATGCCCCGGATAGGGTCGACGGGTAGCCATCGAGCGTCTGGGCGCGAGAAAACCTCTGTCCAAAAAACGGGGGGTGAAGTGGTTGGATCAGGAGACGCTGTGCTGCGCATTAGTACAGAGTTGACTTCTGTGATTGAGACTGACGAAGACGGCTTGAGCTGGCACTTCCCAAGACTTGGCCTTTGCTTTTAGTCTTGCGGAGGTTGATGACGGGTCTGGCCTTTTCCTTGCCCTTGACCTTCTCGCTTTTCTCGACGACAGGAGCTCCGTCCAGTCTCTGTCCAGTTCCGGCAAATTCCTTGGCCTTACCCTTCCCTTTGGTATCGATGCCTGACGTGGAGGCAGCGTCGTCTTCCATTTCTTCGTCAACATCGCCTTCTCCCGTCTTGCCTTTCCCTTTACCCTTCGATTTTCGCTGATACGTCGGCTTGGGCTTACCAACGCCTGCCTGCCACGGGACGCTCTGCAAGCTGACCACAAGCCTGGCTGGAATCCCCATGCCTCGGCAAAGTGCAGTAAATAACTGGGCACTTGTGTCCCTTGATCCGCTCTGCATGAGAGCGTGCTTCATAAGACTCTTGGGGCTCCTTATTTGCTCCCCGTCGTCGCCAACTATATCCTGGAGAGACTCATAGTTGATGGTTGCGTCTGGGTCATTCTCGTCTTTGACGTGAAGACCACGTATTTCTAGTTGTTTCTGGATCTCTTCGAATGGTCGGCTCCGGATATGTCCTCCCTGCTCGACGGCGAAGAACGAGGTGGACCACCACTCTACTAGGTTCCGCAGGGCTGCCTCAAACGTGCGTCCTCGCTGGTTTTGATCTGGGATTCGGGACTTGTGAATTATGGCAAATGCATTTTGCAAATGGAGGGGTGTGAGCGACATTATACGAGCCTAGAAATGATAACTATTCAGCACATTTTAAACTGTTGAGACGGATCTTACATGCAAAAGAGGGTCGTTTATCCATTTGTTCCGAATTCGAGCGTTGGTGAGCAAAGCGACGGTATGGATCTTATGACAGTCTATGCGAATGAGCCTTTCTGCGTGGGATGTACCCTTATTTCTGCAAATAAATCAGACATTCTTCGATTCTTCATCGTTTTGGAAAGAACAGACTTGACCGCGTCGGGTTTTAGACGCGTTTGCAGGGTGATTTCAAAGCCTTGATGTTCTTGCGGTTGATGCGCTGGCATTTCCACTTCTTCCCAGTCAAACTCATCTTCACTGTCTTCATTTGCAAATGAATCTTGTTCTTCAGACATCAAGTTCAGGAGAAAGAGCGAGTCAGTAAATTGAAATGCTGACACGGCTGTCACATCACACTGTCACGTGTTACGCGTTATTTTGGTGTCAGTGCTCTCTGTCACTGTCAGCTGCAAGTCAGCTGTTGTGGAGGATCCAGAACCATGCAACCTGTCCGGGTCATATATAAACCTTTACGTTAATTTCTCAACAACTTGTCTGCAAACCATGATCTTGCTGTCCTTTCTGACGCCTTTGGTTCTGCTATTGAAAGTCGCAGCGACCTCTAAATCAGACCTCATCCGCATTCTCGGTCCTCAAGGCGTGAACTTGCACAAGTTGGAGGCTCGAGCTGCCAGGCAAAAGTTTGCAAAGGACCCAGGGTTACTTGTCCAAGAAGCAGGCGGTAGTTCACCAACATCATTCGAGTTCCGGCCGCTCTGGTTCAAGCAGCCATTGGATCACTTCTCGACGAGCAACAAACATACCTTCCATCAGCGGTACTGGGTCAACACAAGGCACTATAAGCCCAGCAAAAATGCGCCAGTTATTGTTCTGGATGGAGGCGAGACAAGTGGAGAGGTATGCTGTTATGGGTTTTTCAGTGTACTGCACCTCAACACCTGACGACAGGATCGCCTTCCGTTCTTGGACACTGGGATCGTAGAAATTCTTGCAAGGGCGACAGGCGGCGTTGGTGTGGTGCTAGAGCACAGGTATTATGGTACCCATCATTCTCTCCATAACATTCCTTCCAAGCATAACCGCTGTCATTACAGGGAAATCTATCCCCGTCTCTAACTTCAGCACTGATTCCCTCCGGTGAGGCGTCTTCGGTATATCGGACATTCCGTTTTTGACGGCGGTTAAGGTGGCTCAACAACGCACAGTCCGCTGCGGACAGCGCAAACTTTATGAGGAATTTTAAAATCGACGGGATCGACGAGGACCTAAGGGCACCTCATACCCCTTGGATATACTACGGAGTGAGTACCCATCTCCTCCCACACTTATATGTCAAGTTGACACCTTCCAAAAGGGATCATACGCAGGCGCTCGTGCCGCCCACATGAGGGTTCTATACCCGGACCTTGTCTATGGCGCCATCTCATCAAGCGGTCCGTCGTTTTCTCCGTCCTTACCGCCGCTCAAAATTCATCCACTTTCCTCCCTCCCTTCTAGGCGTCACACATGCAACTCTCCAAAACTGGCAATACATGGAAGTCATCCGAACCGCTGCTGACGCGAAATGCTCTTCCAACCTCGTCAACTCCATTGAAAGAATCGACGCCATCCTTGCGCACAGTCCCGACTTCATTAAGCGCCAGTTGAAGGGTCTCTTCGGGCTGCAGAATCTCCAGAACGATGATGACTTTGCATCTATGATTGAGGTGCGATGACACCATCCACCAACGTTCGTGAAAACTAATAATGGTCGCCCTTTTTTTCAAAAGAGTCCCCTCGCAGCCTGGCAAGCCAAGTGCTGGGACCCACTCGTTGGGAGTAACCGCTTCGATGAGTTCTGTGATGCCCTCAGCAAGCCTTTCGGCAGATTCAACTTGGAAGTAAACGAGCTGCCCTTTGGACATGAGGATCGAATGGTCACGCTTCAAGGTGGATTTGCTGTTGATTTTTCTATAATCAGGTATGGCCGTTGGATCAAGGAGGTCAGTCGAGGATCTTCTCATTCTTTGTGACGCGCTTTTCATTGCCCACCACAGCACTACGTATCAAAGTGTCCAGAGGAATTTGGGGTCGAAGACGTAAGCAAAAAGAGTCCAGCAAAGAAGTGCTCCCTAACTCAAGTCAAACCCTAGTGTTTCGGAACGTACGACGACGAAAAGTATCAAGCAACAGATCTCGGTGAGGACTGGCGACTTTGGTTATTCCAAGTCTGCACGGAGTGGGGATACTTCACTGTACGTAAAACTTTTACCCTGTTCCCTTCGCTGTTCTTCTTCACCGTCTTCTCCGAACCCTGATCTGTCGCTGTAGACTGCACCACCCGACCAGAAACAACCCCGCATTGTGTCCAACCTTCTTTCCCTCGCGTATGAGACCAAGATCTGTAAACAGGTAGGCAGTCCTGCTACTTCACCATTCACCTGTCACCTTCAAACCACCTTTTCAAGGCCTTCCTGCCTGGGGAGCACTTCAGGATTCCCAAGTTGCCAAACGTAACCGTTGTCAACGAACTCGGGGACTTTGACATTGCAGCTGATAGATTAGCTATCATTGACGGGGAAGGTTCGTCCCATGGTTCCCCCTTCAGACGTCTCGCTAATAGCGTCTCTTTGCCTAGTTGACCCATGGAGACCCGTCACACCCCACGGCGACGACGCTGAAGACCGGAAAGATACCATCCTCCGGCCGTTTAAACTCATCCCCCGTTCGTTTTTTCTTCCACAGTCTCTTCCTGTTCCAGTTGCTCAAGTCGAGTATTATAGGAGGCGTACATCACTACGATGAATACGGCCTACGCAACCTTCTCGAGGAGCCGCCTGAGATCCGTAAGATTCACGGAGAGATGATCACGTTTGTCACGGAGTGGTTGAAGGATTGGGAGGAGTACAAGAAGATCAATAATACCGATACCAAGGTGGAGGAATCATGAAAGGGAGTGGCTGAAGCAAAACAAAACAAAAAAGGGATCTAGGCTCTGAGGTTCTTGATTCTTAATTCTCGATCTTTCGAGACATCTATTCCGCCGCTTGTTATGTCGTGATTGACTTGCTGGGAATTGTAACATAATGTACTCCAATGAAAACCTTGGCTTTTGAATATTACAGAGGCGACTCAGCTGCGCGTGATGGCAGAAATTCAAAAACCTCTTGTTTTGACCTCCTGAGGTCGGCGTTCTTGAATAAACAAAAGTCTAAACCCTGCAAAAAGGTCAGTGACCAACATATTTCGTTTTCGAAACTCTGGATTGCGCAGAACGCAAGTAGTATGTATTCCTGGCTTCAGAAAAAAGCAGAAGGTTCCGAATTTCGAGAGTCCGAACCGCCGCCGATCCGCCTGTGGTTCGCACGGCACCTGCCGCTACCAAACACGGTCATGAGCCTCTTCACCTTTGCGCCATTCCGTGGCATTCGTGCGTCGAGTCTCGACACTCAGTGTTACAAGTTTCCACTGCAAAGCCTAACATGGGTGCCAGCAATCCAGCGCTCAACTGTGGGATGCTCAACCCACGACCCTCATCGCCAACACGAACCCCGGTGACCAGCTTGGCTTCGATTGGAAAGGTGCTGATGGCAGCGACGTACGCTCCTTTGCATTCTTTTCAATGAAAATCACTGACCATCTCCTAGTGGCCTCATAATATTGGCCCAATGCTTACATATTTAGCATCTTGCAGGTTGACGACCTGTGACGAGTTTGACGCACAAACCGCCAAATAGTTCAAGATCGACCATGTACGTGGTGCTCCTGGCTCTAAGTTTCTCCCGAATTGCGCTAACGACCCCCGCTTATTTACAACAGTGTCCGACTCCCTCACAAGCGTACTAGTCACATCCAACCTTGCGCCACGAAACTACTTTGTCCGCCACGAAATCATGGCTCTCCATCTCGCCACATCACTTGGCGGTGCGGCGTTCTATCCCACCTGTTCGCGGCTCACGGTTGGCGCATTGGGCACTGGGGTCCCTGAGCCTTCGGGGTTGTTCAGTTTGCCAGGCGCGTACAGCGACAACGACTCTGGTATCTTTTATTCCCAGATGTTCGATGCCAGTGCACCATAGTACACCTTCCCCCGTCCTCCTGTCGCTGCATTCGTGAACGGTGGCACTTTCACTCCTGGTAACGCAACCACGACCGCATTTTCAACGGCAACGGCAAGGCGGTGCCGCTGGGACGTCGACAACCTCCAAGGGGAAGACGTGCACGCTCAAGAAGGGCAAGTCTGCCTCTTCGTCGGTTATTCCATCGGCCTCCGCAGCGGCAGCCAGCAGCACCACCACTGACATGTACCACCAACACTTCAGCAGGGTCACGCGCAGACGGCTGCAGTATCTAAAACACCTCTGATTACGACCCCACGACATGCACGCCCGCGATAATGACTGCTGTTTAGATCCTGCCTTGTTGTATACCTACCCAGTCATTCATATTATAGGTTGTATAGTACATTGCTATCATTATGCAATAAAAATTCGGTCGCTCGTTCTTGATGTTGACATGGACGCGAAGTTCACTCTTTAAGTACGGTTACCGAGGTTCAAAGGAAGCATCATTTACTGACTCAAGTTTTGTGGGATCCTGGCAGCTACCTTGCCAATAGTTGCGATAGACCCGCAAGTACTTAGATTATATTCTGCGAACTAAATCAATACCAAAAGATGTGCACGTGACGATGCTGGCTGAGGCGGACAGGCGGATCGGCGGATCGGCGGCAGTTCGGACTCTCGAAATACGGAACGTCCTCGAAAAAAGGTGTAAAAAGTTCACACGAAGTTCCCGGGACCGGCGCCTAATCTCTTGCTTCTCCACACCACTAACTAATTACTATGGATCGGCTGACTGGGCGCACAACACGGCACGGTGCCAAAAAACCCAAGGTTTTGAAAGGGAAAGACATACCCTCCCTAGCGAAGTACATCAAATCAGATGGATGCAAGAATATTGTCTTGATGGTTTGTCCACTCTCGTTAACATTATCGGCTGTGTGTTGGCTCACATGGATACTTTTGCAGTTAGGCGCTGGTAAGCAGGCCTTTAGTCAAGGGCCGGAGGCGCAGAACTGCTTCTGAAATACTTCCTACTTTTTTCACGCAAGGCGTAAGCACTTCTGCAGGGATTCCCGACTTCCGATCTCCGGGAACAGGCCAGTCGAGGTCTTCGCATTACCTGTTTGTCTGATCTCATCCAATTAATGCAGGGCTCTATGTAAGTTTCCTATGTATGTCATCATGCGACAGACTTTGAGAACATCCTATTGAAGTCTAACCTCGCTCGACTCAATCTGCCTCACCCAGAAGCAGTCTTTGAGATCAGTTTCTTCCGCCGTAATCCTGTCCCTTGTGCGTCCCAAATTCTATCAGATGAATTGAAATTAACAACTTTGTTTCCTCGCAAAGTTTACACTCTTGCACATGAACTCTACCCAGGAAAATTCCGTCCGACGATTGCACACTCCTTCATTCGTCTCCTTGCAGAACACTCCCTTTTATACCAGTGTTTTACCCAGAATATCGATACCCTCGAACGAAGGGCTGGCGTCCCGGACGGGAAGATCATTGAAGCACACGGCAGTTTCGCGACCCAGCGCTGTATCGACTGCGAGGAGCCATTCGATGACGAGGTGATGAAGCAACATATCAAAGATAAGAAAATCGCAACTTGTGAGGAGTGTGGTGGGCTAGTCAAACCAGATATAGTCTTCTTCGGAGAATCAGTTTGTGGTTTCTTCGTCCTACCTCTCACTCAGCGTTCTGATCTAAAACTTAGCTTCCGATTAATTTCATCCGTGCCATCCCTCTCTTGCAGGAGGCGGATTTGCTGATTGTCATGGGGACATCTTTGACTGTTCAGCCTTTCGCTTCGCTGGTCGAGAGGGTTGACAACTCGTGTCCTCGCGTGCTAATCAATCTCGACCGCGTTGGTAGTATCGGAAGCAGATCTGACGATGTCGTACTACTAGGAAAATGTGACGACATCGTTCGGGACCTCTGCAAAGAACTTGGTTGGGAAGACGAACTACTCAAATTGTGGCACGAGACTGAGGACACTGTTGAAAAGGAGGAGGGCGTTGATGGAAAATCTGAGTTGGGGACCTTAGTCAGGGCGGACGAAGAAGTCGAGAATCTCACAGCTGCAATCGAGAAAAGCTTGGCTTTGAACGAGACGGCTGTAGAGCCTCGTTCGAAACAGAAGGACTCTGCATTGCTCTCAGATTCCTCGATAGCTGACCCTCGTGATGACGGGAAATTGAAGATACCAGCGCCTTTGACACCGCCACCTAAAGATATCCAGGAAACCACACCTGAAACTTCTCCGAAGTTGGAAGGGCGACCTCAAGAGAAGTAGCTTAAATATAAGCTGGTGACTATGGAAGTTTCAGATTATGGATGTGCAGTCTTTTCGCAAGGCTTCAAATACCTGTACTTGTATTCGATCTCTTCTTGTGTTAGCACCAATAGGGCTCAGATTCTTGTACATTATTATTAAACGGTCGATATCGAGCCTGTTACAACAGTAAGAACAATAAATTATCCGTGGATCCGCTGAACATCATGCATGGCGTCTCAAAATAGGTCTGTTTGCCTCACATACTACCCCATTTTCCGGCACTATCCTTGCAGCGGAAGGAGTCCCCACAGAGGCACGTCTGAAACCACTCGACGTTTTAGTTGATATTGCCCCTAGCATCAAAGCATACTGCGAGAAACGGTCATTCGATATCATCATCACCCTGCCAGCCAAAGCCGACAGACGGCAACTAATCAAGGTCATCCCGGGACTGGGCAGCGGTCCGACACACCCTTCAAGAGTGGGTTTCGCAAGGAGCGATTCGAGAAGGGTGTCCGGTTTGGGCAAAAGTCTGGAGCAAGCACAAGAGGAGAGAAAGACAAAATGTAGAGCGGGAAATTGCAAGGATAAACAAAGATAGAGAAGTGACCGGACGGAGAGGATCTTGAAGCCCAAGAGATGAGACAAGATGAATATCATTTACAGTCGTTCTTGACAGCGTGGCGCTACATTTTGGCGATGAAAAAAGAAAAAAAGAAAGAATGCGTTAGGAGCAGAAAAAAAAAGGAGACGGGCGACGCAAGCGAGAGATGACGACATCGAAATAGAAGAAATGCGAAGAAATACGATGGTGATTATGAAAAGAGACTACACCTGGACTGTCCCAAAAATAGTTCGGAGAACAAATGAAGAAAGTATCACCGATGCCCACTTTCACTGATGAAGGTTTGGATCATTAACGCCGGGGGCGGGATAGGCGTTCATGATGCTAGCGAACGTTGATGGGATCTGCGAAGTCGGCGACGTCACTGCTGTGCCATCTTGTGATATGTATTGCAGAGGCCCGCCTTGAGCAGCTTGTGGGGATGCTTGAAGTAGTGCAACCTGCTGCTGCGCACGGGCATTTGGCGCACGCGAACTCTGACGTGTCTTCCTTGTCGATGCGATTGGTGCACTCAAACTTCCCGAAGAGTTCCTCGTCGTCCTTCCCGACCCGGATCCAGACGCAACAGTCGCGGACGGAGAGGGCTGGTACTCTTGGAAGTTGATATCTGCAGAAGAAGGCAACATTGGAAGCATGCCGAGCTGTGAAGTTCCCTCTTGCATACCAGGGTCTATCGCTTGTTGTTTGGCTTGCTGGACGGCTTGCTGCTGCTTGCGCTGAGCCTCAGCCTGAGCAACAATATGCTGAGGGTAGTGTGCCAGCCCCTTGGGAGTGTTGGGATTGGTGGTTACGTCCCTCTTCAATTTCTCCTGCTCGGAAGGGTAGTAGGCACCGATGGGCAATGACGCATCATACTCTTCGGGGAGGGCAGGAATGACGGCTGCATGTCGTCCTCCAAGTGGCCTTGACGAGGGAGTAAGCTTTATAAAAACAGATAGGGATAAAGCTCAGTTTGACGTACCCTCCTTCTACGAAAGTCTGCCACACATAATCTCTGAGTCGATTAGCGTTAGGTAGCTCCTGTATAAGGTGCTTGATCGTGTTTTGCCCAAGACCAAAAAAGTCAGGACCTGAGACCGAGTTTGAATGTTGGCGGTTGCGAATGGCATTTGCCTGTTTGACGATGTTGGACCACGCCCCCGTTGCCGTCCCAGCAATGACAGGCCTGTCTGGGACGTCTGAAGGGACGATCTGAAACTTGGGCCCATCACCACCGTCAAGGATTGTACAGTGATAGACTACCTCGATGCCGGGATCGACAGTGGACAGGTATCGTCTAACAGGGCAACAAAGGCGTTAGCATCAGAGGGCAGAACCAGACAATGAAACTGACCTCGTCACTTCATAACCAACGGGAAAGATGTATCGCTCTGTATGGAAGTGTTCTCGCATACATACAATCCCAAGGTTGATAACAGTCATAATACCAACATTCAAAGGTAGCATCGGCTGGCCCTTCTTATCGCGAGGAACCATGGGAATGCTGAAGCTTTTGGACGTGACAGTGTGGGCCTTTAGTCGTTTGGGCTTAGCATGTCGCTGAACATCAGTGGTTGGACGTTGTTGCGGCTGTCCCTGCTGTGGGGGAGGTTGAAGGGGGGGAGGCATATAACCAGGCCCATACATTCCTGGAGCAGGTCCCAAAGGAGAAGCGAGGAAGAAATATGGATTCGCATAAGGATTGCCGTAGGTCGGTGTATTGGGAGTACCAGGCGTTGTTGGGCTAGGGTAATACATGGAGTACGGGTTCATGCCCATCATGGGAGGAACGCCAGTGGGCGACCCATGCATCTTCGACATCATTGCCGTGCTCAAACTCAAATAAGGATTCGCACTAAGATTTGAGCTGGGGGTAGAAGGGGTGGTGCTGGTGCTGCTAGAAGATTGAGCCACACTGCCTTGGTCCTTGGTGCTAATAGAAGTCCCCACAGTAGCAGAGCTCGATGATCCAGCATATAGGCTGGGGTCGAGGTTAGGATCGATATTTGGGTCGAGAGGGGGAGATACACTGTTGTTCGCAGATTGTTTGGCAGCATTCTGAGCAGCGATAGCAGCCTCCGCAACTTTCACGATGTCCAAAGTTAGCGTAGGGTGTGCCTCCACAGAAAACTTGTTCATTGTCTCTCGAACAACTTCCTTTGAAGTCTGTTCAATAGTCTCCTTCGAAGCCGCTTGGACGATGCCATTGTGTAACTGCTCGTTAACTTCCGCAAGACCCTCCACGGCACTCGCCTGAGGATTATCTTCGGCAGTCCGCAGGGACGTAGATCCTGGAGCAGGGGCGAGCGAAGGGGGTGAAATAGAAGCTTCTACTTCTGCGGGAGACGTTGGTTCCGTTGCAGCCGCGCCCGTCGTCGCATCTACAGTTGGAGACGGAGACGGCGCGTCGGTAGAAGCTGTGGATGCGGAGGGAGGCGGAGGGTCAGCCGGTGAGGGGGATCGCTGAGGAGACTCGTGAACAAGAGATGGAGCAGAACCAGAAGTTGCAGATGCAGCTGCATCAGGGACCTCCTCAACTCCTGATACGATTTCCGGCTGAGCCTCATCTTCCATCTGGGAGTCCATATATTGGTCTTCTTGTACGGCAGGGGGAGGGGAAGACGGCAATGCCCGCACAGAACTGGACGAAATTTCCACATGCGCCGGGGAGGTGAGCTCGTCATGCGATTGTAAGGTTGGCTCACGTTGGCTTTCAGCCTTGGCCGCGGCGGCCTTTTCGCTTCGAGTAGCCCGACTAGCATTGCGTGAACTTACCCTTCGAGCAGCCTGAGAGGTGGGACGAGGCGACGACCCTTGATCTTCGACAACTTCACGGTAAGAGTCTCTGTTGTTCCGTCGAGATCTTGTTCCCCTCCTAGGTGGCACAGGGTTCGTTCCCAGCTCGAGTGAATTCGGTTCATTTTGGATATCGCGGGGAAGTTCTTCACGATCACCAGCTTCATAGGCGTGATCCTGCGCAGAATTCGGCGTATTCTGGAGTGCAGGACCATCACTCAGGTGTGAATTAGCTGGAGAACGAGGGTGATACTCCGGTGACTGAGAACGTGGTATGTGATGGAGTGGCGGCTGGGGCTGATGTTGGGACTGCTGGAATGGAGAAGGTGGTTGTAGAGGAGGGTTGGCGTATGAATGAGGATGAGAATGCGATGGCGACTGTTGACCTTGACCTCGTGACGATGAAGAGGAAGCTATGGCATTGTGGGTCACTGGCAAGACCACACGGTCCGAATGAGGAGAAGGCGACGAGACTTGCGAGTTCACGCGAAGCCTTGTGCTGGTGCCGGACGATACGGGAGACGAGCTATGACGCGGGGAAACCGATGGACCACTTTGATGAGCAAAAGGAGTGTAGTTCATCACGGATTGTGAAGTAGAGCTTCCGCTTGATTCCTTTCCTTTATGATTGTTAGCTTCTGGACGAGAAGCGTGACTCCTACGAATACCTTTCCTATATTCTCGGGCTTCCTCCTCAAGACGTTCCCTCCATTCCTCCTCTTCTTTGCGACGAGCTTCAGGCCCAACATGTCGCGTAGAAAGAATTGGGTACACATCGTCATCTGCATCATCCTCAGCGATAGCTTGGCGAAGGTTTTCAACAAACGAGGTCCGAGCTCGTGCATTCAGCAAGTTACGCGGAAGGGCACTAGAGCTTGGCTGAGGCGCAGGAATTTGCGATGAACTTGGGGAGCCGTTGGCGTGGTGAGGCGACTCCAGCTCCATGATTCGCTCAAGGAGGTAGCTAGATAGCATAGTCAATACGCGGCAAAGCCATACATGCAGAAACCTAGACGCACTCTCGTTCTTCTCGCATTCTGACATTGCGCTCCCCGGAGCGTTGTAGCTCATTGTTCGTTTCCTTATGTTTCTGCGTCAATACGGTGTCAGGCCTCTTTCTCATCAAGAGAAAGAGAACGATATTTACACTAACCTCCTCAAGCTCGAAAAATCTTCTTTTGAGCTTTTTATACTTCTCGGTGAGGTTTTGATCATCTTTTGATTTTTGTTGTGGTAGCGGCGCAGGGAGCCCTGAAGATAAAGGGGTTGGAACAGGTGGAGGGCCCATTACGACGTCTCTGTCGGAGGGAGGGCCCATGGTGCCAGGCGTCGAGCGACGACGGTTCATGGGTGGGGAAGAGCAAAAATGATGGAGGCCGTACGGGAAAGAGATGTTCTGACGGCGCAATTGGCGAATGTCCAAAAACCCAAGACTGGGCAATCACGCACAATTCCAAACACAGCCAAACAGAGTGCAACCACGATGCCATGCGTTGCAAACACACACATACAACGGCTCGAAATGCGCAGCATTGCGCACTCTTCTCCAATTCTTTCTCCGGTCAGCTCGACAGTCGTCGGCGGTTTTTTTCAAAGTATGCTAACTGACTTCACACACACAAAAAAGAGAAAAACGGTCTCCTGGCTCAAAGCACCCAACGAACACCTCAGATCTACACATTTACCGATTGGGAAGTGGCGTCGAACGAGGCAACGACCCTTCAGACCCCGAAACCTTGCTTATTCACCTATCCTCAGCCTCATTTGTGAGAGTACCCCTCCTGGCTGTCTTCGCTACGATGAGCCATCATCGATTCATCCATACCATCTTCAGGCCGTACATGAAACATTCGTTTCTAGGCTGCGAGAAACTTGTGTTCGTAAGCCAAATTTCAAAAAATCTGTATGAGTTTTAGTACCCGGTGCACTGATTTAGCGAAGTCCACCCTAACCTGAAGAACACCATCCAAATAGCGCATGACCCTCAGGGATTAAACACGCCCCAGATTGGGTGCCACCTCGCCTCTCCGACGCTGCAAAATCTCTTACACATGACTCAAATCAGGGCTCTCAAAGACCGAATCTTCAATCGATTGTCAGCTGGAAAAGAACGGTCAAGCGATTGGATATAAAGTGTTGACTCTTGTTGTCAATCGGCGTCATGAACACAAAAATACAACAAGCCGTTGATCGGAATGCTGCCGACTCTCGAATGTTCGCCCTCGTATTTGACTTGGCAACCTCCGCAAGCTGTATTGGGACAATTCGAGGCTCACGAGCGACAAAGAAACGCTACACCCAACATATAAAACATGAAGAACTTGATAACTTTACAACTTAGTCCGTTGGGTCATGATCAAACAATCATTATCCGAATACTTAACATGATAAAGAGGAACACATGCTCGGCCGACCACGGTGGACCTCGGTGAACTAAGTAGGAAAAAAGCACGTGCGGCTGAATCGCAGAAGCAGACCTTGGTAGTTACTAGTTGGTAGAAAACTGATTGTTCCAGATGAAATCAAGTGATAAACTTCCTTCCTTCCGGATCTAAAATTAAACTCACTCCCAACTCTGGATATGTAACAATTTTTCTCCCTAATATGCATTACGTAGCGGTTTTACAAAGCGCCTACTCTGAGCAAATCCATAGTGCCCAACTGTGCAAACAACGTCCTTGTATTGGCCCGATCAATAAACAACCTTGTTCAAGTTATCTCACATGAACACAGTGCACACTGGCTGTTGTGAGCCAACCACAAGCCCCATCGCGTGTCATGGAAATCACCGTTTCTTGTGATATGAAATTACGAGGTGCTGTCAAGCTCCCATGACCTCCGATTGTAAAGCATCCATTTCCGCGTTTTCCTGATGTTGAAATCCAGATGGGCAACGACGATCTTTCCCAAACTCCACCTCAACGCCCGAATCCTCAGTGACCCGTGAATCATGGTACACTTTCTCCGATCAAGGTTTATCTCGCTCATTTCTACTCTCCTTTAAGTTGCTATTCCACGAGGTGTTCTTCATCATCAAGAGGTCGAAAGTCCCCGGATTTAGATAACACGACGAATTAGGAGAAGGGAGTTTTCCCGGTGATTTTAAAATGTTCAAATGCGTAAGTTGGAGATAAAGGCGGGGCATAGTTTGTATATAAATACTGGGGATAATAAGCTCACAGCGAATCAGCCGCCAACAAAGGGGCCCGCGGAAGTGAAGTGGAAAAAGGCATCCTCACTGAATGCAGCTCTGCTCAACAATCTGGAACATACTAGCTCAATTTTCGAAAAGATTGTATGAGGGGCACTAAAATGCACAGCTTGCCTCGAGGTCATGACAAAGTTACGACCCGTTCGGGAGTCCGTAGCCATCGCCTATTCGCGACTAGAAAATTTTAGCAGACTCTGCTAACAGTGCGCTGACGGCAACGCGTTCATAAATTTTCAATGTACAAGCGCTCTATAAAGATTTCCTTCCGATCCATAGATCAATAAAATTCCTCGCTGCGTCAAATTGTTCGCCGAATCTTTCTTCTGCACCAGCTTCATAGTCAAACGAATGTTCTAGACCCTCAAATGCCACTAGTTCTGTTGGAACACCCGCGTCTTTTATCAGTGAATGCATAAGTCTAGATTCATGGATAGGAACAGCAGTATCAGCGGTCCCATGCAAGAACATGGTCGGCGGCCAGCTGGAGGTTACGCTGAGTTGAGGGAACAAATTTCTATGTTGATCTGGAATTTTGGCGATTATGGATTCATTTGAAGGGATGGTATCGGGATCAACTTTATGCTGTTGCAACTCGACCCGCAGAATGGAGCTGAGACTTGGGTTGTGTTCTCCAGTGTAGTAATCCAAAAAAATTCCGAGTTGAAAATAAAGACGAACAAGAAGCATGCGAGGGTTTGCAGGGTATCCTGGAATGTGGTATGTCTCTGGATGATACGCCAACGGGGAGTCAGAGATCGCTTGAAGCGTCGTTATGGAGGGATATAGATATTCTTGAAAATCGGCTGGGTCCAATATTTCGCGACCCCGAAAGAAGGGATCCTTCTTCGGTGAGAGGTAGGTTGGAGTCTAGTACGTTGGAACGTTAAGCTTCCCCGGTTTGAAAATTATTTTTTTAGGAATTAACGCCTACCAAAAGATCCCCGCCCATGCCATATAAAGATAAAATTGCTTTGGGTTTAGGGGAGATGCAATTTATCGCAGCTAGGTATGCACAAAACCCTCCGGCACTCGAGCCAGAAACGACGATTGATTGAGGATCAACCCCAAACTTGATTTGTTCGTCTCCTGGTTTGGATGGCATCGTAAAAGACAGAAGTGGATCTTTTAGAAATGCGAACAAGTCCTTTATGTCTTTCACAATATCATGTCCTGTAGCAGGAGGCAAAAGACGATAATCTGCTGATATGAAGGCATGTCCAGACGATACGGCACGTCCTAGAACACAAAAAATTCCATGTCAGTCCAAGCGCCATACGCGTCACAAATAAATGGCCGAAACCGACTTTGTAACCAAAGAGGGAACCAGCTTCGTCGGTTTCCAGCAGTCAATCCGCCGCCGTGAAAATAGAGAACGACTGATGCTGAGGGAATCGTGCCATTTGATTGTCCAGACGTTGTCGACTTTTCAGGCATAGGAGGCCAGATGTCAAAGTAAATTGGTAGGCCCTCTGGCGTTTCCTTGTAACAAATAGTGAGATGCTCTTCAATACCAGACATTTTAAGTCTTGAATTTTGCTTCAGAAGGGGCGCATCAGAGGGCGCAAATATCGACTCACTGATTTCGATGACTTGCGTTTTTTTGAAGTCCGGGGCAGTTTTTGCCCGGTTAAACAACGCCTTGTTTGTGCTATTTATCACCCTATCATCAAAGCCCGCTGATAATGATATCAAACCACATACAGTAGGGCTATGTACCAAATCGATGGTTATATGGATGGTGTCGCGATCTTCCAGGAATCCACGATTTCTGTGACACACGTTTACTGGTACCAGTCACGCCATCGCGTGGCAATCTTCAATCATCTCATCTGCATCCTCCGATGATAAGATTACACTCAACCACAGCCCAGTCTCTTTCTCGTTGTTGAAAGGACAGATATCATGGCATCTCAGGATGCTGACGCTTTGGTTACTTCCTCCGATCCACTACATGTGAGCTTTACCTTGTTGCAGATCTTCACTCTGAGCTCACCTTGTGGTCCAGCCGGCCAATCTCATTCCAGAACTCTGTCGATCCTTCTATCAGGTTTGTCTTGATGAAGTGGTATATCTGTCAACAAATTCAAGGAGTCGGTAGCTAGGATGGGTTACAGGAACGGGCGGCGGAATCTGCATTCGGACTGGGTACGCTTGAGTGTAGACATTGGCAGCCTCTCATTAACTCTCTTACAGCGACAAGGTCTTTATCGCACCATCAGGGGTGCAAAAAGAGCGCATCGAGTCAACCCATATCTTTGTACTGCCTTACCCACAGGCGGCGCCATCCCCACACACTGACCGAGCATTCCTCCGTCGTCCTGCGATGAACCTCAAAGAATCTGCGTGTACACCATTATTCTGGAACTCTTTTGACCTGCGTAACGCCGGAAGCTGCATCCATACACATTCTCAGCATGCTGTGATGGCGACGCTTCTTTGGCCTGGGCCGGTCTTCACTATCTCTCATCAGGTGCTTTTTATCTCATCAGTTCCCTTTATCTGCTAACAGATATATAGGAGGTGACTTAAACTATCACTTCCCGGTCTCCTCCACCTGACTGGAAACTTCTGAAATAGATGATCAAAGGCGTGCGCGTCGGCGGTACTGGTGCCGCTCTTTCTTATCTGGATACGCTAGAGCTTCCGATCATTGAGAACACACCGAATGAAGAGGACCTCAAAGACAGCATGGCAGAAGCCATGCTTAAGTATCCCGACGCTGCTGGTGTGCTAGTTCGTCGACATGGGGTTTACGTTTGGGGTGAGTCCTAGTCAAGTAACTACGTATCTACCGAATCTCATGACATGTTCAGGAAACGATTGGGAGAAAGCAAAAACTCAGACTGAGGTACTTAGCCTCAACCACGCGTCTACGCTGCATATCACTCATCTTTTCTAGTGCCTGGATTACCTTTTCGAAATGGGGGTGAGGATGAAGCTAGCTGGCCTTCCAACAGTCCTAAATGAAGCCTGATGTATCAATCACGTCGCTGATTTTACTAGATCTATCGTGTATTGGCTTGTAACTTCTATGAATTTGCCCTACAATAGAACCAATCTCCCCCTCCGACGTCACGTAGTGCTTAAAATTCATAAGGACTCACGAGAGGCCCCTCAGAGGACACATCCCAGGCTGGACGGAAATTTGAAGATTGGGCATAGTTAGGCCAGGTGCCATCCGTTACATCGGCACCGAAAAAGCCAGATCCAAGTCCGGACATAGTTGAACCGGCAGGGGTATTTTACTGGGTAAGAGGAGGCATTGTAACTTGAGCCGGATTTTGCTTTGTTCAGATGGTGCTAAGGGTGTAAAAGATGGGTTTTTCGGAAATTAAAGCACCAAAATAAAAGCTTTTTATGACCCTCAGGGCGCGGGAGACGCGACTTCCAGGCCAGATCCAGAATTCTAGAAAGAGAAAGAGAACAAAACTGTACCGGATTTCTCAAGAAAACACGATCGGTCACATCACGTGTCAGAATTGACACTCTTACGTCACGGTGTTCCGCGTCAAACCTTCAATTGTCCTTTCCATCACTCTCCTTCTCCATGGCCCAAGGGAAAGTATGCGTGAGCGATGTGTGCTACCGGTAAGTTATAAATTGCCGCAATATATGCCTCAGTTAATCTGACTTTCCTTAGTATCTTGACCCAAAGTGTGTATTTGGCATTATCAGTTTGCGGCCCCTCGTTCATCCCAATGACCCTGTTAAGCATTTGGTCATACCGCATACAAAGGGAAACAGAAGGAAATTGTCGAAGCTGCTGCCTCCGGTTGGTTTATATGGCGTAAAGGGCTGGTTTACTGAATCTTTTCGTTCCAGGTCGAGATGTTTTGGTGGTGGCTCCAACGGGTATGGGGAAGGTTAGTGCGCCCATTATTTTAGCTCGTTCTACTTAATTTCAAATCATCTTTGTAGAGCCTATGTTTTCAGGTGCCCGCGCTGGCCGCTGAGGTACGTGCCCGGCCTCTGTCACTGACTCAACGCAAACTATGAATATCTTCTAGCACGGGACGACCATTGTAGTCTCCCCACTCCTGGGTAAGATTGTCTTTCTCTCTGTCCGTTTTTCAGTTACGAACTCGAGAAAAAAGCTTTGATGAAAAATCGTAGGTTTCCTCCAAAACTCCCTGTCCTGGTTTGAACCTCATGCCCTTGACCAGAGGTCGACAACTTGCGAAGTAAAGGCGTTCCTGTCGCAGCTTTTACATCAGAAACGACAAAAGAGGAGAAAAAAGGGGTGAGCTACGATTACGATCCATCAATACTCACATCGCATTAAACCGACATCAGATCATCAAAGACATGTCGTCCAGTCGTCCAAAAATTAGGCTGCTTTATGGTCAGTCTAGATGAACCCGCATTACTTGATTTCCAGATCTAACTTTTTTTCACCAGTTACGCCTGAGAAACTCCTGACACAAGAGTTTCAACCTTTACTGGAGGGCTTATTCGACGACGAACAATTGAACCTCCTCGTCGTCGATGAGGTAGGTCTTCTGAATAATGTTTGAATACCACTTATTCTAGTGTTGTCCAGGCGCATTGCGTATCCGTCAGTCTAGATTATTATTATTATTTTCATGTGCCAACTCACACATTAATTACTTGACAGGAATGGGGTCATGATTTTCGCCCAGAATATAGACGTATTGGAGAGTTCCGTGAAAAGTACGTGGGCATACCGATAATGGCACTCACCGCAACCGCTACGGAAGCGTAAGCTATTTCTTCTTGATGGCTATAAATTAGCCATTTATTTTTACTATTCCAGCGTTCAAGAGGACATCGTTCGAAGTTTGAAGATGTCCAAAGATAATCTTTTCTGTGCCCTTCATCCCTTTAATCGTGATAACTTGTATTACCAGGTGATAGACCGACGGAACGTGATTAGCAATGGGCTAATGACATTATGAACAGATCAAGTATCTTTCCGCCCCAGACGACAGATCAAAAATGGCCGATGTGTTTGATTATATTACGACGCTTTACAGACGGAGGGGGCGGGCGTCTTCGGGTATAATTTATTGTCGGAAACGGGTGACCTGCGACGAGCTCTCGAGCTATTTGAGGGGGAAAGGCCTCAGCGCAAGGCCATATCACCGCGGTATTGGGTCAGTTTTGAAACGATGTTGACGGATGAACATCTTACCAGTGACTTTAGGTCTGCAACCCTAGATGCGACGCTGAAAAGATGGACTGGTGGAGGTTCGGGTGAAGAAGGTAGCGTGGACCTTGTAAGCTTTAGCCACAACTACGCACACATTTCCACTGGAATATTCTTGAAGGTCATTGCCACCATCGCTTTCGGACTTGGGATAGACAAGGGGGATGTTAGGTTCGTCCTTGACGACTTCTCTTATGGAAGGTCACTCCAACATTTTTAGATACATCATTCATTACGACGTCCCAAAAAGCTTTGAAGGTAGCGGTACAATTCAATTTGAGGCATTTGCATAACCCTTTTCCTCGTAGGATATTATCAGGAAACTGGTATGTTGTATCTGCCTATATTAATCCGTATTTACATCTTATTCAGGACGTGCTGGTCGGGACGGATTGGTGAGTACCTGGTTGTACCCGTGGACTACGACAATTACCTCAAATTGAAAGCCATCGAAATGCATTCTGTATTACTGTGAGTTCACTAGCTCTATTTTTTCTTTTTTAGCAAAAAAGAAAAGAAAATTGGCTTACCTGCCACTTAGCTCGAGAAGATGCGCTATATAGTAAACGATTGGCGACAATATCAAACGCGAACCGTGTCAAGGAAGATAATGAGGGGCTGCCACCTACTCAGAGAGCGATTGACAGCATTTCTGCAGCAAGTATCTTGTCAAAATTTGATATTCAGCTTTTCACGACCCCCTCAGCTCATTCAATTCGCCGAGAGCAGTACAATTTGTAGACATGTAGTGAGTTGACGGCCATCTTCAAATCAAAATTGCGGCTCATTTATGTGCACTGTGCAGTCTATCTGCCGTTATTTCGGCGAAGCCATTGACGTAACGGACAAAGAACTTGTCAAGACCTTCTGCAACAGAATGTGCGATGTACGCTTTTCTGCCAATACATAACTTTTGCTTTCTTTGTGGCTCATCGCTGACTCCCCAAGGTCTGCAAATACCCCAATAAGGTACAACAGCAAATCTCAAATCTATCTTCCTTGGAGCATGCGAGTTCTCGCGTGGACGGTTATATCATAAAAGCTGCTCAGAATAACGCGCACTCGGGAGGTGACCAACAAGCTTGGCAGAAAAATAATCAGAGACCCCAGAGTCGAAATTCCTTCGGGGATAACAAGCGAACTGGTCCTGAACAGGCGGGCAATGTCACGAAGAAAATTAAACCTGCACTCCCAACGATGCTTGGTAAGTGTATGCAATTTTTTGTAGTAACGATCCAACGACAGCTTTCTTTTTTTTCTTCAAACTCCAGTTACCAAACCATTCGGATCAGCGTCAGGTCTGAGTAAACCATTCAAGCCACCAAGTTTCGTTCAGAAGCCACCGAAAGTTGCGCCGCCGTCAGAGTTGGAACCAGAGCCAGAGCTTGAGGTCAATCCACCGGAGCAGATGGACTTTAACTATGATATTCCTGATATCGTTGAGGATGACGAAGATAATCTGGATGAGGTTTTTCGAGAATGTGAGCTTTCAGCTTTACTTCATGATAAAGCCGAAAGTAAGGCAACCATCTTTTAGCTTCTCCGGTAACTTTGCCTGATGTCGAAATGGAGTTGGAGAGCGCATTTTCGAACAAAATACCTGTGAGCGGCGTTTTTTTTTTCATGACCTCCGTACCTTTCAACAAAATTTATCAGGCGGAAAAGCGCGAGGAAACATTCGACCTTATTCGCCGTGCACTTTACAAGATCTTCGTCGTGAAACCCAATCATGAAGAACTGTGGGCCATGCTCCAACAAAGTCCCTCTGATGGGGATGCCAGGTGAGCCGCTTCGAATACGAAATCAAGATATAGATATTGAACTGCCCTTTTCAGAAATAATGTCCTCTTCGAGACCGCTCGAACGATCGAATTTTCAGTGTTTTGCCTCTGCAGCACGCTAGAAGGCTACAAGCGGCGCTCGCATACAACGATGGTGGCGATCCGCTTATTATCTCAAGCAGAATTTTGGCATCGACAGGATGCTGATTCAGAAGACATACGGGAGATTACTGACATTCTTCAGCGGCATTGCTTAGAGAACGGGAGGAATGGAACGGAAAGGGCATCTTAATATACATTCTAATAAAGGATACAAGCTCACAGAAAATTCCAAAAATTGCGGTCAAAGATGTTATACATTTATATCCCATATGCGAACGCCCTCTTCGTCCCTCTCCATCATGTCAAGTAATTTGGGACGGCCGGAACCTTTTACCATGCTGAATATGGCCGAAGTCCCCGCGAATAATTTTCCTACAAACGTTTACTGATAGGTTAGGAGGCGTGATCAAGGGAAACGGGCATACCATTCTCTTCCCCACATCTATTACAAGCAACAACTATCATCTCATCGCTTGGGGCATCTTGCGCGTCAGGTTTGTCCAGCGTCTCCTCCCGGTCTTCACCATCCGAATCGACCAAGGTATTCTCGTCGCTTGCCCACAAAGGTCTTAGCCGTGCAGACCAGTATCTCAACGTATGCCAATCATGTTTATCGTCCGGTTCATTGCCAGAATCGAGCCATGCATCAAGTAATATCAATACATTTGCTCGTTTCGACAAGCAATAGTCTGCAAGTTCGTATGGGCCCTCAATGGACGTCCATTCATTGGGAGGGTGGGGATTGAGGTCCATACATATCGCTAAGCTCATTGTTCCAAGCGGGGGCGGTAAATCGAATGTCGCAAAGCCAGTCCCTTGGAAATAATAAGTAAAATCTTAACCAAAGTTGAAGCCGATACACCCACCAGCCTTGGCCCACGGTTTATCCGTTTCAAAAAGGTTTGTTTTTCGATAACCTCCGACCCACTGCCCATTTGGACCGTACATGATCGCGCTATTAGCCCCTACCTGGTGGACCTCCGAGGAAGCGCTGCCTTCTGCGTTATCCTGCGCCGGACCATCCACAATCTCTTCGTTCAATCTGGGTTCGTCCGAGGCTAGCTCCTCGGGGTACCCTGCAATGACATAGCACTGTAACTTCTGCGCCAGCTCTGCGCAGAACAGAGATGTAGCGCCCGTTCGGGGACGTTCCAGATGGGGTGATATGGCAGCGGCGTTCTCGAAAACGTATCCTACAAGTTTCATAGAGCTTGTGACTCCATGATTCAAGGGACTGCGACTCACCTGTGAATGCCATCTCAGGAAAACACAGAAGATCAACGGATCGTGGCAGGAGTCTACAACCCGTCAGTCGTCACCCGAACCCTCCAAGCAATGAGCAAATTGTGTACTTGCGGCATAGACCTCTCGCTTTGGCCAAATTGGCTTGAACTTGTCCAATCTTTTAGAAGACTAGCGGTGATTTGATAAGTGAAGTTTGGGATTCTCTAACCTTCGGGTTGAACTGGACTACAGCAATTCTAAGGCGAAGGCGCGGGACTGCCATTTGAGGGAGAGAGAGGTGTAGGACTGTGTGGTTTATAATACACCGTGTGCGCAATCCAGGGGGGTCTGATCCTCGTCGCGCCCGCCGATATACTAGGCCAAACCTTTGCGATTACGAGAAGCTTCACATACACGTGCTGGGAGTGAACCAGAGGCCGAGATAGTGTTTTGAGCAGATGAATTTCGTCACCACTTGGTCACCTCCGCCAATTTAGCAAAAAGGCATAGAAAGTGACGGGAAACCAAGTCGATCTTCAACAAAACACTTGATACATGATAGAACAGTATACATACAAGACGCTACAATAAAATTATCAATACAAGATACAATCGTTTATAGCAATACAAAAAGTAGAATTTTCTTGATTTCACGACGCGCTTACTGCTTAGGGTGTGGCTCATACACACCGCGCTACAATTTCACTTGAGACGGCATACTTCAAAGCAAAGAATCGAACTCACCTGGCGTTGTGTACCCTGCTCGTAGAGTTCCGGTTTAGACGTCATCTTCCCAGCCAGTTTCTCACCGCCGCCTGAGGCAGAGAAAAGAGGAATGAGATAAACAATGAGGAGGCAAAGAAGATCGGACATACCAATAACCTTGTCAGTCATGCTAACTTTTCCTGGGGAAGTCCCAGTAGTATCGGCGCGGTAAGCGCCAGTGCCTGTAGGCCCAACGCCATAGCCGGTGTCGCCAGTCCGTTGAGTATCACCATGACCCACACCAGCACCAGCGCGTTGGGTGTCACCGTAACCTGCACCAGCACGCTGAGTGTCACCGTAGCCCGCACCGGTACGTTGAGCGTCTCCATAGCCCGCACCGGTACGTTGAGTGTCACCGTAACCTGCACCGGTACGTTGATTGTCGCCATATCCCGCACCCGCGCGTTGAGTATCTCCATACCCCGCACCAGTACGTTGAGTGTCGCCTACACCCAGCGCACCAACACCACCAGTGCCAGCGCCGGCCCTAGCGGCCTGCTGACCTTCAAGAGTCTGCTTCTCCTCCCATCCTTGACGTCCAGTGTACCCTCCCTCAGCACGGCGTTCAGCATCAAGACGCTCCTCGGCGGTAAGATGCTGACGTTCACGTTCACCAAGATGATGTTCCGGGTGCCTCTCATACTGCTGTGCATGGATGCCTCGCCCAGATTGGGCCCCAGTTTCAGCGTATGCGGTATCACCACCACCAGTAACCCCAGCACCGGGATAAGTAGTGGTCGTGGACGCCTGTTGCTTCGGCAACCCACCACCTCGAGTCTCTTCCCACCCACCGAACTTCGTGCCAGGAACATTGGACATGCAAGGCTCATCCATCGAGACTCGATGAGCCTCGCGGCGGGTCATACCCCCCCTACCCAACTCTTCTTCCCCACGAAGCTCCTTACGTTCCTCACGACGCTCCAAAGGTCCTTCATGATGATGACCTTTATGCTCCTCACGACGCTCAAGAGGACCTTCACCTAGCTCTCGCTCCACCTCCTGCTCACGCCTGCCCTCCTTCCGTTCCTCGTGTCGGGTGATGGGCCCCTCGTGGCGATGAATATCACCGCCAGCAGCGGCGGTGGCGGGGAGGCTAGTTCCGGGGACGGTGCTCAAGGGCTCCATGCTCTCGCCATGACGAAAATGTTGGCCCTCCATCCCGTATTCCCCTGGGTACGTCCCGGCAGTGGTAGAACTTACGCCAGGACCAGTGCCACGAATCCCTGAATCCCGACCGAGCCCAGTAGTATCATGCATGCCCGTAGTATCACGCACGCCCGTAGTATCACGCATGGGCTCGTCAGTGCGGCCAAAGTGGTGCTGCTGCGCCGTGGTCCTGTCGCCGTACCCAGGCTCGCCGCCTGGGGTGGTTTCGGCACCGAGCCCATGTCCGCCGGTGTCGCGAGTATAGGAGGGGTCCTGCTGGTACCCTCCGGTAGTGCTAGGCTGGTCCCCTTGACCTTGGGTTTGGCCTTGCCCTTGAAGTCGGGGGTCTCGTTCTAAATGAAATTGTCAATCCCGGTTTCTGTATATACGAATGGAAACGCACGGCTTGGGTTGTATTCCCCGGTGCGAGACGTATCTTTTCCGTACGACATTTTTCTTTTGCGATTCGAGGTGGTGCTTTTGTTGAAGGTTTCAAGTGAGAGTTGTCCTTATAAGAATGTGAGATCGATGACGGTATATGACGCTCACTGAATGAATGGATGACGCTATCGAGGAGAATAACGTCAATTTCTCCTCACAAGTACGCCATGGAGAGGAAGGTGTTTGGTGCCAAATATGTAAAGAAGACCAAACCATGGCCACCATCACACCCATCGACTTCTCCCAAACCCCTCTAGCAACCCCATACAGCCCATTCTACGCTAAACTAATTGACAACGTCTTCACCCCCAACGAATGTGCAGACCTCATCGCGCTAGCATCCTCAACGGGGGACTGGTCTCCAGCCGGTTTGAGCGCAGAGGGTCCTACTCAGACCGTGCACACCAATTTCCGGAACAGCGATCGGGTGCTGGTGATTGATGAGGAGGTATCCAGCAGGATATACGAAAAACTTAGACCGCTCGTTGATGAGATCTGTGAGATCGCACCGGGGAGTAGGTGGTCTTGTATCACTAGCAGACCGGGGAAGGAACAGGGTCCGACGTGGAAGATGGTTCGGTTGGTGGTATTCATTTTACATACTTAGCTGACTGACTCATGGAATGCATAGAATAAACCCCCGTCTCAGCTTCCTCCGCTACGGCTCAGGACAATACTTCAAACCCCACTGCGACGGGCTCAACGACCTGCTCGACGGGAAGCAAAAATCATTCGTCACGCTCCATCTCTACCTGAACGAACCCGATGGTCTCACAGGCGGGGCGACGCGTTTCTGGACCCCAGATAAGAAGGAACACTTGGACGTGGAGCCTAAACTAGGCAGAGTGCTTGTGTTCCAGCAGAGAATGCTCGTTCATAGCGGTGAAGAGGTTACGGGCGGTGTCAAGTACACGATGCGCAGTGATTTCATGTTCGAACAGGCTAATTCGTGATTTCCATTGGTTCTCTGGGTACGTTAGTTGCTGGACTACTTGGACGTCTAATAAATTACCTCACAGGGCAACGCAAACTTGTACTTATGCAGCTTGGGGGCATATACCCTACGGACACGTCGATATCTCTGCCTAGGCAGACCATGCTCACCTCCCGGAGACTTGCATACCATCGCTCAAGTATCGCACTATGTATCAGGAACAGTGTACCTCTAGATGAAAGCTCCAATGCATCAGTTCTACATTAGGCTTGGTCAGAACAGATTCGCAACATGAGGACGCAGTGCCTTGCTCCACCACTTCCGTTATGCGATCGCTTCCTTATTTCGTTACGATTCCAGCTAACTGCATAATCGTAGACCACATCTGAAATTTCACTTTGCGCCTTTGGTTGTGCATAAACATCCGTTTTAGGCCGTGGCTATGTAAACCATGATGCCCATATGCGCGCGGGCTGCCTATTGCTCCACATTCTAGCACCGTTTCGGTAGTTGCTCCAAACGCTCCAATCCCGCCCCGCACGTCATAAGGGTGGAGCGGTTGGAACTTGCCAACTTGGAAGGGCGTTCTACCTAATATGGTTGTTTGTACAAATAAAAGCGCACAAAAGTAAAATTTAGATATGGTCTACGATTAGTATGCAGTTAGCTGTCAAGGCAGCATTGCAACAACTTCAACGAACTCCTCGATGGGAAAGCAAAGAGTCATTCCTTACTAAATGAGAACACCTGAACCAATTCTAGCAGAGAAGGCGCGGAAAACACTGCGTTAACGTTCGAACAAACGAGCTCCTAGTCTCCATTTCAAAAAGAATTTCCAACTACACTCGATGCTGGTACGTAAACGTCTATGCTGTATACACAGCGTTCGTAGCATCTAACAAATCATCTCACAGGGACAACAGACAATGTTGGCGATGACGTCGCAAATTCCCTACGCGAAGCGTCAACATATACCAAAAAAGATTCATATAACAGTCATCACGAAAGACTCACTTCACAAACATCTGCGTACACGTCATTTCAGTATCTTCATATCGAAAGACAGGGGGTTCTGCTCACCACAACAGACGAAAACGCCCAGCACGCCAATGCAGCAGTCCTACATGAGTTTATATCGACTTTGGTCAGAATATATAATAGTACAAGATCCATCCATGCTCACTTTCGCAGCTCCACCACCTCTGAGTCTCGAAGCGCCTTGATGCTCCGTATTAGCGTTCGCAGGCATCGACACACCTCTACCAAAGCCTACATCAAGCAACATGATCTTAGTCTTCAATCTCGCGAAGTGATAAAAAATCTGCTTGCTCACTAATGGCATGACCAGCTTGCGGCTGCGCGTTCACCGGAGTGGGTGTGGGTTGCTGTGTTTGTGGGCTCATCTTGGATTTGGTGGGGTGGAGGATTGGGGTGGTGTCTCAGACGGCGTTGATATATGGTCGGTGGATGACCTCATAGTATACGAAAACTGAAGTCATTTGTGATACTCTTTTGTGCCGATCATTCACTCCAGCGCAGACCTATTCATAGGCAGATTATGAGATCATTGGGAATGTTTTCGTGGAATAGAGGACGCGACGTGTAGTAGCAATCTTGTTCCTTTTCGTTGAGTTTATGTAGGCTTACGCCGTTATGGTGATTATTTCATCACTCCGAGCACCTATGTTGGTAGGCGCAATTGTTAGGACGAGGCTCAGACTATGATAAAAAGCACACGCTATAATTAGTTCTTGGGAGTGGGACTGACAAGGGACCCATTCCAGTCACGGTCACGACTTTCTCTTTGACACCATCAGGAGCGTCTTGCTGCTGAACGCCGTGCTGAGGGAGGGTACACTGGACGTCAAGGCTGGGAGGAGAGGCGGACCCTCGAAGCTCAGCAGGGAGCTGCTAGCTAGGGCTGGCACTGGTGGTATTGGTGCGCTGGGTGTAGGCGACACGACTCTCAACGTACTGGTGCGGGATATGGCGACACTCAACGTACCAGCGCGGGCTATGGTGACACTCAACGCGCTGGTGCGGGATATGGTGACACTCGACGTACTGGTACGGGATATGGTGACACTCAACGCGCTGGTGCAGGTTACGGTGACACTCAACGCGCTGGTGCCGGTGTGTGGTATGGCGACACCCAACGCGCTGGCGACACCGGCTATGGCGTTGGACCTACAGGCACTGGCGCTTACCGTGCCGATACTACTGAGACTTCCTCAGGAAAAGTTAGCATGACTGACAAGGTTATTGGTATGTCCGATCTCTTTTCCTCTTATCTTCTTATCTCAATCCTCTTCTCTCTGCCTCAGGTGGCGGCGAGAAACTGGCCGGGAAGATGACGTCTAACGCGGAACTCTACGAGCTGGGTATACAACGCCAGGTGAGTTCACTTTTAACCTGTTGTGAAATATGCCGTCTCAAGTGAAATTGTAGCGCGGTGTGTATGAGCCACATCCTAAGCAGTAAGCGCGTCGTGAACATAAGAAAAAACTTACTTTTTTTTATCAACGATTGCATCTTGTATCGATAGTGTTATTGTAGCATCTGTATCGATAGTGTTGTTGTAGCTCTATCATGTATTTGTTCAAGTGTTTTGTTGAAGATCAACTTGGTCAAAACTTGGTTGTCCTTTCTCGAACAACCTGTACTGCTAACAAAGTTCCAGCGAAAGCGATGGTTCATCGGTGCCTTCTTGTTCCTGAGCTCTTTAGCTTGGTTTGCGAGGTCTTAAGGCCTGACTACAAAACGCGGCCAATCCAACGATCAGCGACTTTGGCATCTCTTGCTCGCACATGTCGTGCCTTCGAAGGGCCAGCTCTCGACGTTCTTTGGCGTGAGATCGAGGGACTGCGTCCGCTTCTCTGCACGATGCCGCCCGACATAATTGAGATAAAGGCAAAGGGTTGGTCTACAAAGGTTATGGTGCGCTTGTAAAATCAATTATATTTTAGTGAAATCATTCTGATTTTTTCCGACCCGAAGTGTTTGCGAAGGCCAATCTTACTCTCTGACTTGACAAGATTACCATCTTATGCCCAACGAATACGCAAATTTCATGTGGACTCAAAGTCTTTTGTTGACATTGAGGCTCTACAAGCTCTAAGCATGGCAACATTGCATATGCGGCCCCTCCTTCCAAATCTTGAAGACCTTTCGTGGTATTATGGACACTCTACAAAGCAAGTGGAGTGGTCGATGCTTCAATGCGTCTATCTCTTCTTCTCTCCCAATCTCACCACATTATCCATCACTCTCTCTCATATCTCCAATGGTGCATGTGCCCCCTCCATCCTCTCTGGTCTTATCAACTCTTGTCCAGCCCTGAAAGAATTGACTTTCCATTTTCCCTGCGACTCCAATGGAGAAAATCAACGGGCTGTTTCTTCTGTCATTTGTCAATGGAGCTGGCTTCAGTCTCTAACGGTCAACAATTTGACACAAGAAGCTCTCGAGCATCTTGCAACAATCCCATCCCTCCAAAGACTTTCTCTTATCTCTCTGAAAGATTTGACGCGTAGTTACGATCAACACTTGCCGATCGTTACGCGCAACCCAACTAGCGGATACCCTGCTCTTCGAGGTTTATCAATCTCTTGTAGGACAATGGATCCAGCGATCGCCTTGGCGCAGCTCCTATCCTCCAGTCCCATCGAGCATCTCGAAATTCGGGTTGAGAATGTTTGTCATCCTCGTCAATGGAGGGAGCTCTTCCATACCATCAGTCGCCACATTTACCATCCCTCATTGGAACAACTCACTTTACTGGAGTTAGATTTGATAGACTTGGACCCACAGGAAGCACTCTATTCTGACATTGGACTCGAGGCCTTGACTGTGTTTACGAATCTTCAAGTCGTTGATATCCAGCCTACTTTTGGCATTCAACTTACAAGCGACACAGTAAACAGATTAGCTGATGTCTGGCCCAAACTATGTCATCTCGAACTCGGCAATATATATCCATCGTCAACATCACCAATCATAAAAACAGAGGACCTCATTCCCTTCGCACAACGTTGTCCTAAGCTAGAGTACCTAGGCGTCGTTTTTGACGCTCAAAATACCCAAAATCTCGGTGTCAAGTTCAATAATACTTTGAACACCTTATCTGTCGCAGACTCTCCCATCAATGCCCCACCCATAGTCGCCGCTTTTCTTTCCAATATTTTCCCCAGACTTAGAACGATCGCTTTTCACGACGAATGGCGGAATGGGGTTCCCGGCGAGGCTGAAACAGAAACTACAAGGATGTGGGAAGAGGTGGACAGCCTGCTTGAAACATTTGCCGAGGTATGATTGCAGGACAGGAGCAAGATGGAAACCTAACAAACCCCTGTCACAATCAAGAGCCTGAGCTAAAACTTTGACTACTTCTACAGGTCCATCGACACTCCATATCGTAACCGCTGGTTTCGGGACTCTACCCCCATCCATTCAGGACCCTTTCGACACCTTGAGGTTGACAAAATGGAATCTGCAATGCCTTGATCTGTGTGCGAATGCTGGCGATCTGGATAGGATCAAGGTTGGTTGTATCAAGCGTTTTGAGACTGATATTACCGTCGGCGTCAACGGAGTCAACACCTCGGACGGCTTCCTGGCGTAATCAACGAGAAAATAACCGCCACTCCACCGAAAACGAAAGCCCCATTCTTTCCCGTCGCCTTACCTCGTACCAACCCCCTTCGTCATAGTTCTTCAAGTACAACCATTACTCTCGCACTGGTGGGGCCTTTTGCCTATGGCTTCGCTAGCACTATGATCATTCTCGAACCTGCCTTCTTTCGACAATGAACAGCGAGCGGATATCCCAAATCGTAGATACACCCGTAGACTCGCTTTCATCATCAACTTCGTATGCAATCTTTAGCGCATATATATAATCTGGCGTACAACTACTCTCCATGTTGCTTGGATCCTTGACCATTCCGGTGGACTGCCATTTACAGTCTTGATATCTACCTTTTTCAAAGTGACCCAAGCACTACTGAACGTTGATACATCCATCGCAAATTATGGCTAGGAATACATGTCCAACATTGGCTCCGGAAACGCTCTGAACCTTGTCAACGGCATGGTCACCACTACTGATTGGAATATACATATTAGCATTGAGGGAGGGAAGAAGCTGGTGTCCTAGGAGTCGGTGAGCTGCCGCTTTGGTTAGAAGATGTGCAGAAGTACATCGCTCAAGCCGTTGAGGTGAGTAGGTAACTCGAGGGAGAGAGATTGCTTGGAACGGGCATATGGAATCTGGATAGGAAGTGACGTGGTGGAGCTGGTTTTCTGCTGAGCAACGACAGCCTCTGAGGTCACGACTTGGTCACGACTTTCTCCCCTACACCATCATCAACCGACGCGTCTCTCTCAACCATTGTGCTAAAATGGAATCCCATCCTTCGGTACCTTTCTCTCCCCTTCTCCAAGATCATACCTAACGACCTACAGCATCCCATCCTCGCAAACCTACTCGAAAAGTATCCCCGTGCCGCATCAGGCCTGTTCCAAGCGTACAACGACATCGTATACGGTCAGACTCCCTCTCCATCCCTACGAGGGAAATCATCTGACATCGAAGATCTAGCTCAACAATGGCAGACCGTCCAAGTTGTCGACCTTGACAGGTGTGAGCGGGGTGCTATACAAGGGAAGAAAAAAGACACGGTGCGTTTTCTTTCCCTCTCCTTTTTTTTGTTCAGTTTTTCAATCGATTATTTTCAGGACACGGTGCTACACGTGGTGCCATGCTCTCTATCCGAGACGGTCTCTTTTGCCTGGTAGGTCTGCCCGTCCCCTGAACTTCACTCATGTTGAACCAACAAATTTTCTATTAGGCTTCAAGCTGCGTTTGCGCAGTTGAGCACGAAAGAGATCTATCTGGGCATCACGTCGGAGGACGCATCGATTGTGTATTACAAAATTAGCCAAGGAATCGTGAAGCCACCGGTGTAGGGCAGTTTTTTTCGCGTTGAATCAACTTGCCATCCCTCGCTCTTCTGACTCCATAGTCATCAAAGTAAGTTTCTCGTTCGTCCTGTGGAGTGAAGAACTAAACGTCCGATTCAGAACTCTGTCCACGTTGCCATCGCCCTTGGATAAGGCGTTTTTTCCCCTCTCGTCCACTGTGGGGTGTTGCTTCGCACGCTGATCTGCCCTAGACGGGTGATACCATGATGGAGGTTGGGTCGATGTCCATTTGGAAAGCAGATTTGGGTCAATTGCAGACTTGGGCTCATGTATCATCGACGTGAAGCTATTCACTGATAAGCGCTCGCTCACCTTCCATCCGTGATCTGCAGACTGCAACCCCGCCATGGCGCCATCCAGTCTGCAGCCCGTCATTCCATGTTCTCATCTTTCCTAGCCTGCCATTCCTGCCGCCGTCTTATGCGCAACTTCAAGGAATAACTAGGGCTTTGACCAAGGACCACGATACCACACTATGTCTCGATCTTACAGTAGGTGGTAAAGTAAGTAGATAATGCCCCACAAGCCAAGAAATAGAACAAAAACACAAAAACATAGACAAAAAAAGCATTGTTGTGAATATGTCTCCCGCGCCCGAGTTGAATAAATTCACGTCGTTCGTTTCCAACTTGTCAGATAGTCCACTACCTCCCTAAAATCTCCCATATCCATGTGTCCATACCCAGGTGACGAGTTTGGCGACAATCTCTGTTTATCATGCCAACTGTTTGCCTGCTTCAACGCCACCAAGGGAGCCCGCCATACAGCCCCGCCATCATCCATGCCCTGCACAACTTTACACACTGCCAAATTCTTCTCTGAGCCGTCCACCAAAAAATCATCGTTGAAACGCAGATCGATATCTTCCTTGAGCCTGCGCCCGCGCACTACGTTATTATAGTACTTCTGTGAACCTGGCCACTCGCCACCAAAGTACTTTTCAAGGCCGACGGGGGACTCCCATCTGACACCGTCGTCATCGTCGGTCTTCATTTCGGTTGTTTCCCAAGTGAAATTTATCTCGCCGTTCGTGAGGAAGACAATTGCGCGCCGCGAGGAGGGTGTCGGGGGCGATTCGAATGAGGGTCGAGAGCTGCAGAGAAGTTTGTGGAGTTTCCAGTCAGCCCGTTGGCAGGACTTGCTGCAGTAGAGGGGGCGACAAAGGCAGCTGGAGCAACGGTGGGTGGCGGGGTTGTTGCACATTGCACAGTCAGGGGACATTGAGGCCGACCTTTTTCAGTGAGGAACTGCCAGCTCCTCGACTTGAAGACGATTAGGATCAAGTCAAAGGACTAGATCGCTTATCGGCTGCCCCATGACCTTCTGCAAGGCGCTTTTGCAGTGATCCCAGCAAACATGCTTTATGCCGGTGCCACAGCAAATTACACGACTTTACGTAACGCCGTCTGGGATGAACAAGCTTTCCACTCCCCACCACAAGACAGACTAAGCGCGTATACACTTGCACCCCTGTACGCTGCTCAATTTTCTCATGGGCAAGACTTATGCAACGGCGAGAGAAGACGCCCGACATCCACGGCGAGCACTCTACTAGAACTGAAAATCTTTGACCAAGGAAAGGAATCAAGGCAAGATAGATCTCATGGACTAGTTTGATGTTTTTCTGACTGGTCGGTATTTAGCGGGTTGTACGACAGAGCCTATTCGAGGGACTCTCACCCACTGTGTAAGCTTCTGAAGTGAAGACTCCTCCGATCTTAGGTCTGGCTTGAGCCATGTCCTGCATTCCAAGATTCAAATCCAAATCTTTCACATAAAAACCCAGTTCACGTTTCGGCAGTCCTTTCGCCTTTCCGTTTTTTTTTGGCTGGGTGACACTTTGCACTGCCGCCTCGCCGGCGTTCACCGCTTCATCTCCAATGGGGCAATATATAACAATATTCAGGGTTATTACATAGTTAGGGCAAAACATGAAGGTGAGCGGTGTATCTTCAAATTTCTGGCTTTTGTCTAAAATAAAAACTATCTTCGCTGCAGTGGGTAAGTGATCAATTCATATCCCTCTGGCTTGCCCTTATGCCTCGAATGACTCAACTCCAGTGGGATCGATGCCTGAGCCGTTGGCGTTGTGGACTTCGATTTTTGAAGGAAACAGTGTAGGGAATTGTAATGGAGCCTAGAGGCCATTCACCCCAGACAAGCACTTACACCCTTCCGTTAGTATCCCTTAATCTCATACGTCGAGTTCCTGGGATGCCATAGTTTTCCTTGGAGCACCCCGCAAGCAGTGCACATGTGCGTGGTCGGGGACCTTTCACTCTACATCTTAACGTTAACTTTTGTGTTTATTTTTAGATTCGAACCTCGATAGTGCATGGATGCGCGCTGGGCTGATTGTTATCATTGTCTTGGGTGCAAGAGGCGCTGAACATCAATTTAATTTTGAGTTATCTGTGCTTTGCGGCCAAGTACCTCCGCCTCTAATGCGCGGTTTCGTAACTTTGTCATGCACGAATGTGGACGATTGGGTTTGACATACAACAACCTTCTGGAAGACAGTGATACTTTTTTTTTGGAGGGGGGGCCAAATTTAAGTCTATTGGGGCAGAGTGCCATGTCAGACCAACTCTGTATGTGATACTCCAGCCTGCTCTACACTGTTGTTCCCTGAGGCTCCAGTTGACTATACGACCGCAGCTCGACGAGGGTTCATTAGGTGACCATTCTGGATGGGTGATCCTGACCGTCTTAAGAACCGGTAAGCGCTCTTCTCTGGCATCTGTTTCCTGCTCAACGAAGACTATTCCATGCAGAAACGGAATGCAGATGTCAGGCTTGCAATACAACTTGTGACCTTTCCGAGTCCATTCCGAATCAGCCCTATCCATACAGCACGGTGTCCGTCTTTGCAAACGTCTTGCCGCGATTCGTCTCACAATGCTCCGGAGCTGACAGGAAGTAGCTGAGGACGGACTCAATGTTCACAACTGATCCAACTCGCCAAGGTGCACACCGTCTGCTCCTCTACCAGTTACAATTTTAGTATTCAATCATTTTTGTCTGTAGAAGCCCGTCGTTGCCCAATTATAGAACAAGACCGAAAAAAATCTGACGACCCTTTGGTTTCTGTAACGCTGAACGTCCAAATTTCTGGACCAAGGCTGTCGCATGAAAGCTTTCCGGCATCCTTGCTCTCAATATTAAAGCTATGATACACCCTTTTTGTCAGAATGTAATTGTACTCAAGGTAGGTGAGTCGGATTTTCTACCGACGAAGCTTGACCCTAGACTGACTACAGCCAGATGAAGGCTTCTTGGCCTGTGCCTAGTGTCATGTCAATCCGCTGGACAGTCTGACAAGTAATCTCACGTCATATCCCTTTTCTCCACAGCTTATGGAAAAATGTGCTTGGCACTTTCCACATATTATGCACTGTGTATACCTTTTCTGGAACATCCGGACAGCTGCAAAAAGTATTAAAGAGCACTTTGGGTCGACAAACCGTCATCAGGTCAATCTTCCTTGAATATTGCACACCGATAAATTTCTCCGCCAACAATGCGCATGCCCTCTCTCCTCGTCCTCATTTCCGCCGTTAGCTTTGTCTCGGCAGGCGATATCTGCACCTACACCTCCCGCAGCTGCATCGGGTCATTCGGTTGCTGTTATGGCATTGCACAGAATACTTGCTGCAACTGGCCAAGCAATTATGGCTGGTCGGTGAAGTTCCAGAATATGCCTATGACATCGACTTGGTTTGGCAAGACGTTCGGCACCTCGACGTGCTCCACTCAGACAGGTGGTGGAGGTTCCTCCTCTGGAACTATTTGTAAGAACCCAAGACCCTTCCGAACTTGTCCTCGATTCTGATGTAAAGGAACAATTTTCACTAGGTACCAGCGTTTTCAATGGACCGACCTATTCCAACTGGTTGTCTGCCAACTGGAATGCAGGCACTGGCATGAGGCGCGATGCTGAAGCCCGTGACGATGCCGATTGTGTCCGGCCAAATGTGATTGGGTTCACCACTGAGGACGGGGTGGAGCATCTTGTCAAGGTTCCCGAAGGGAAGTTCGATGAAGTCAACGAGTGGGTCAAGAGTGACGACTTTTCCAAGCTTCTTGAGCTCGAGACTGTCTGATCAGCAATGATGATAAGAGGTAGGTCTGATGTCCTTGATATTGAAAATTAATGACATGTGTTGCCCAGAAGTTTGAAAGTTTTGAAGTCGGCATGGACCTGATTTTAGACACGTTTAAATCAAGTCAGATGCCCTGTCACAAGAATGGCGCCGTGGACATTTGAGTGTATCCAATGATCTTTTCTTGTAGTATTTCGTTCTGAATGTCGCGCTTTCTTCGTTACTATCCATTGTGTCAAGGTTTACTTTTGGGTTGCGTAAAATGATGTGAGCAATTTCCAAGACTAAACGTCGTGGAGTCCCAACTTCGTCAACACAGACAAAGCCGCACTAGATATACAATTGAAAGGGCTACAAAGGGTTGTTGGAAGGGAATAACGATACAGACAGATTTGAACCGTTTTGACAAGCAAGATGTGCGTATGATCGGCAAGCTAGATCTATCTTTAGGCGCGGCGCGCTTTGCCAAGGATTTGTGGTCGATATCAACCGATTTTGGCTGTTTGGATAGAATTAATTCACTTTCATCAGATTTCATCCAATTTGAACCAGCGGGGTTTTCACTGGGCTTGTACGGTTTGCTAGTCTCGTTACGGCCGTAGGAAAAAGACTAGGATTTTGTTATATGAATTTCGAGGTTTTTTTTTCCATTTATCCGACAGCTCTTACTACACATTTCATGAATTCAGCGAGTTGCGAGGCTTGACGCAGTGATTAAATATACTTAGGTATAGATTTAGAACTGACAGTAAGCGCTTGCTCTTACAGGACACACTTGCAGTTTTGGCAAACCTCAAGAGTCGAACAGGCGCCGACCTAGTGGGCCTGTCCACAACACAACCCACCTTTTTCACCCCCTCTTACCCGCATCTCAGCCCGCGGACTTCAAGCACAAGTCACACCGCAATAGTCTCACAACCTTAATCGCAAAGTCGCGCTAACAGCAAACAACCAACAAAAATCATATTTTTCTTTCCCTGATCATGCTCGTCCCATCGGCTGTGCCTATCCTTCGGGATCGGGTACTTAGAAGACGAAACGCCACCTAGATGGACTGCACAAACAAGCAGAATGACGAGACTGCCCCGCTCGCGTATATAGATGCACCCTAAAACGGCGTTTCCGTGCCGGGCCGGTAGGGGGATGTTCGCCTTGGGCGTGCCTCCTTCGGTGCATAGGGTGATCTCACGGGGGTTAGGCATTAAATGGCATTAGGGGCCTTAGGTAGTCTACCGAGTTGTAAGGTCTGACATGGGGCTCTGCTCCAATAGACTTAAATTTGACCCGAAAAAAAAAAAATAGATTTAGAACTTCGAGCGTCCAGCTCTGGACGCGAGGCTTAAGCTTTCAAGTTCCTACTACATATTAATGACGTCGTTCAACTCATCTCGCAATCGGACGATCCTTACCCTCGGCTATTAATAGATTACTCGATGCTCAAGACTACCGCAAATGCTATATCCATTTCTCGACCTTCAATTAACCAGTAGTGACTCTAATAAGCTTGTTTCGTACCTTTAGAGCGCCTGTTTTTTTTACTGGGATTGAACGAGAATTTTACAGCCGTAGTGAATTTTTATGATAGCTATGGAAACTTCTGACGACCTAGTAGCTGTGGTATTCCTATTGGGCCTATGACTCCATATTATAATTTACAACCTAAACGACTCCAAGGATCCCTCGGTCTCGGTATTTACTTAGGTGAGCTACTAATTTTTCCTGGGGCTGAAATTGGCGAACTTTTGTGCCTGCAGTGGAATACCACAGATGAAAAAACTTTCTGGCAGTACGAGGATATCAGAGGCCTTTCAAGCGACAACTGTTGGCCGTTTGACTCGTCCGAGTCCGATGGACTGCGGCAATCGTGGGGGCGTGTTCTATAAATTATACCATGCGAAGAGTTGACGTTTGGACACCCGAAGCTTGTCAACGTGTTGTACTTTTCGCGGCGGGCACTGACAAAATAAATTACTGCGCATTCTCCCTAATCCCATATTCCTTGCTGTATAAGACCGCGTCGTACGTATGATAAATAATCCCACTCCCGAAGAGGTCTGGTCCAAATATCTCGTCAGAAACACGTCATGAAGTCCAAGGGCCCTGCCAATTTCGAAATAAGCGTGGCCACGGGGACGCGTAAGGTCACCGAGATGAGAGAGATACACTCCTATGGAAGGAAGGAATCTCCCCATCCTGCCGAGCGAACTCGGCATGCGGACCTAGTCTCATTCATGCCCGATGGCCGAACCTGGATCCCAGAGAGCTGACGGAGCTGATTATATAGTCGCTGCTCTCGTTGCGCGCCAGCTCGATAAAGATCACTGCCAATAGATAGAAGAGTCTAAGGAAGGTATCAGATCAGATGATGAAATGTCCACAAGGTAGAGGATGGGTACCCACAATTATTGGGATGGCGCCCTTCATTTTACGGCCGAGTCTACAGCTCTCATAACACACGTTTCCGGAGGCGAGTCAGTCTTCACGACGAGGCTGGAGATCTTATAATTCTCATCAAACTCCAGTGTACAAGTAAAATCTTCATCCCACTCGCGGCCGCTCCTGCGCCACATCCAAGTGACACTGGCGCCGACAACGACGCGGCGCGCTTTCGCGTCCGCGCGTGGGTTTGTGCGTATGGCCATTTTTGAGCGGGTCCAGTTTGTGGCGAGGAGGTCAAAGTAGGAACGGACGGCGTTTAGTCCTGAGAGGCGGGATGTTTGCGGGTGGGGGCAGAGGGCTGGGGCGTGTTGGATTGTTACGGGGTGAGTTGTGGAGAAATGGGTTAGGAGGGTGAGGGAACAGGTGTTGGATGCGAGGGCGAGGAAGAAGGCGTTGGTTGCGGAGATGAGGTGGTCTTGTGTGGACACGGACTGGGAACTTGAAGGGTTGGCCATGGACATGGTCGTGTTTGGGTTGAGGTGGGTGGGTTTTTATAGATAGTTCGTACCGGTTCGGGCAGGGGTAAAGAAGAAAGAGGCTTCCCCGGTGTGTCATTGGATTCAGATCTTATCCTGATTCCTGCCAGCACATGAGTGAAATCTCACCGAGGAAGCTGCTGAAGAAAGCCTCGGCGACGGTCTGGGGAAAGAAGTGATATTGCCAATAGGATTATCGTCTAGGCGGAGAAGATCTAGAAGTCGGTCATATCGGCGTACGAAATATTACTGACGATCGCGAGGTCGTGACTGACGTCACACACTGACCAGAATGGAATCCCATCCTTCAGGCGTTTCACTTCAACAACCGTCGTGAGACAAAGATAAATAATTATTTTCACCTTTTGTTTGTTGACTGTGACTCTTTGATTCAAACGACGTCCTCCACTTTAGCTCTTGCCGTCGCCGTGGCCGACGAGCAATTGCCTATTTCATGTTCTGCAGCCCTTGCTCGCCATCACGCACAACGATCACCTTCCTTACTCTTTCATCTTTTCAATCCTTTTAGCAGGCAGCAGCAATCAGCAACTGGCATAAAAAACGTAATCCCACTACAGCATACACACTCTAAATGACCCCTCGGCCAGCGCTCAAGGTCAAGCACAATCGACCTTTGTCTGCAGTTTGGATCGGCAGCAGCGCTAGCACGAGTGCCAACAACCCCAACTCTAGTCAATCTCCGCAACCGTCGTCATCTTCTTCTTTCATCCACGATAACACACCCCCTGGTCTCCCAGACCTTCCGGAACCGCCTAGTCCGAGTTCTAGTATCGGCTCACGAGACTCCGGGCTTCCATCTCCGCCTGCGACGAATTCCACGGGCAGCGAGAGTACGGGCGACGCGGGGAGTATTGCCGTACGTCAACAACGGCCGTTGTCATACACGAGCAATAGCAGTGCGAGTACGAGTAGTGGGAGCCATAAGACGACGCCGAGTGTGAGCTTGAAGGGCAGTAGCATGGATATGGGCAGTCGACTGGTGGATGAACGGCAACCTGAAGGGCATGGAGATTTTGACGATGATAATGAGAATGACTTGGAGGGAGATGATACGGAGAGATTGGACAGAAGGGATACTCTCAAGTGTTCCAGTGAGAATGTTTTGGCGTTGCAAAGAGTTAAAAGTCTGACGGAGAGAAATCGAATGGTACGCCACTTGTTCTGTTTCACCTCGAAGTGGCTGACTTTTCGACGCATATATGCGCCTATTAGGCCCTTGACAAACTCTCCTCCATTTCAAGGCTAAGCACTCCATCGCCTTCTGGTCGCCGTGCACGAGCAGCGACGCCTGACTCTCGCTCTTCGGCCCCATCACACGCTTCATCTACCTCCTCCTCTCGCCTCTCCAATCCACCTCGGCAGCTTCGTGCACTACCACCGCCACCACCATTACAACGACGGGACACTCTTTCCGGTTCCGAGACTGAGCGCGAGTCCACTTCAATGCATTCCTACTCTTCATCACATCACCACTCTGCATCGACCAGTTCCCACTCTTCTCGTCGTCCTATCACGCCTCCCCCTCCGGGCGATCCGAGCACCGCAGTAACTCCGTTTCGTCGTCATCGTAACACATCAGCGCCCGGATCACCCGACAGAGCTCGCACCCTCAGTGCAGCGACGCTGTCCTCTGGTTCTAACCTAAGTAATAGTCCCAGTCGAAGGCGGAAACGGACATCGATGGCGAATATGTCTTTTGACGAAGGGGATTCTGCCAGATATGACACTATAACCGGGACTGCTAGAGAACGGTCAAAAGATACCGTCAGGGATATCACGGAGAGTGCTCTGGCGGCGGTTGCATCGTCTAGACGAAGTCCGTTGGGCACTAGGAAGCGGGCTGCCCTGCCTAAAGAGTTTAGAGGAGAGACAAGGATGACGGACGATCATGGTGGTGACCAGTCAAGAACGAACCACAGGAGGAGAGGGAGTTTGGATGGTGGTGATAAACGACGAGAAGGAAGGGTGAGTTGCCTTGGACACAATGGATACATTCATTCTCATTGTTCTGCTTTCCAGCTTTCTTTGGAGCCGATGACACCATATAGAACAACGAACGGGGTCGGGCGTTCTTCCACTGTACGAGAACTACGGCGCAATGGAGCGGGGACAGCTGGTCGATGGGGAAGCGACGATTATCGGTCAATCGTCTCTTCGTCTACGGCAGCTGTGAATGATGATGCCCAAAAAGAGAGGAGGCAGAGCTTGCGTGGAGGGAGTGCTGAAAGTGCTTTGGGGTTATGGAGTCCTGGGGGTAGGAGTCTGATTGGAGAAGGGCTCAGGGCTGCTGGTTTGACGCGTAAGGAGGAGCACGCAGCAGAGGTGTTCAAAGATCGGCGGGTTGAGTGGAGTCCCCATGATATTGACGATGATGGTAGGCGAAGAGTTTTGGGTGGGGAGCGAGAGCGAGAGCGGCCACCGAGAGCTTCAACATCAATGGCCGACTATCGTTACTCGGAGCACAATGAGGAGCCACCAGGCCGCCCTGGTTTGAGAGGCCACCGGAGCACGTATTCTCTGGTTGCACGGGACAAGGAACGTGACCTCTCGTTGAGCCACAGGGAACCTTCTTTGACAAGGACTGAGAGGGAACAGCTCGACCTCGACCGTGCAGCATCTTCCCTCAGTCGTCACAGCGGCAGCAACAATGTCACCCCTGCGCCACCACCTACCCCTTCTACGAACGTCGCGCCTGCCACTGCTACGCCTCAGCATATGCAGCAGGAGAGATACGAGAGATTCTCCACTGCCAGCCCGTTTGGAACAAAACGCTTTGGGCCTCCCACCCCGGTCCTTGGTGGTTCTTTCCAGCAAACGGAACATACAAAGCTGATGTTGGACAGTTTGACGATGTTTGAGTCGCATCTGGCCAAGATCCCTCATCTCCCTCCGTCTAGTGGGACGTCATCAAGTGATTTGGCACGGAATGCTCAGAATGTTGTGTATGCTGCTGAGAGGCTCAATGGGCTTTTGAGGCTTGGGACTAGTCGGGCGATGGAAGCGCAGGTTGGTGCTGAGGTTGACGATTCGACTGGCGTTGATAAAGAGGTGGCAGAGGTATGGAGGAGGGTGGGAGCCGAGTATAGGGAAGGGGTGCGGGCTGCTGATGATCTTGTGCGAGGTGTCACTGGTTTCCTTCTTGGTATGGGGAAGGTGGTGAGGGACTTTACGGCTAGTGAGCAGCAGCATGGGTCCCCTTCTGTGCACGGCAGGAGTGTCAGTCTGAACGACGAGGATCTCAGAGCTAGAGGGGCTGCTGGAAGCCCGGACGTTGCTGCGAGTACGAGCACGGGGAGTGGGAGACGGAGTGTGTTGGATTCGAGGAAGAGTTGGGAGCCTAGGGATAGGGATAGGGATAGGGAGGAGGCTTTGAGGAGACTTGGTGCTGGAAGAGCGGAGAGTTCCCTTGCGAGGTCTTCGCCCTTCCAAGCTACCAGGGACTTGGACACCAAGCAGTTTGAGACGCCTCCGCCTCATGGTAGAGCTACGCAGTTGTCTAGTGCGGCTCCTCCGTCTGGGTCAGTCCGAAGGTTGTTCACCCCTCGTGAACAACGAGAACATCAGATGGACGCTGCTGCTGCCAATGGTACTACTGGTCGTTTAGGCCCTTCAGACTCTCAAAGGACTTTAACTTCATCTCAAGACTACGAACCTTCACCTACCCCGGCTTCGAGAACACGCGATCAGCCTTTGGGTCGGAGTCGGACGTTGCCACCTTTGACGTTGCCCAAACCACTTGCTGTGCTTCCTTCTGAATCAAGAAAAGCGAATGTTCCCGTCAGCACGCCTGCAGATAAAGGATCTTCCGTCCGAGATCGCGAGCGCAGGCCTAGGGTTTCGTTGGCGTCCATATCTACCGTCCGTGGTAGCGTGCCTACCTTTCCTGGTCTTACCACCCCAAGTAGTGCGACGACTGCATTGACGGCACACACCGTGTCCACTAACTCGCCTGCGTCCCCGCTCGTCCGCACCGATTCAAATAAACCTGCCCGTTCGACGATGACGTTTTCACGACCGTCTGCTGTTTCGGTATCTGCGGCGCTTTCTGGGCTTCAGCAGCAGCATCTTGATGATGAGCGGAAAAGGACGGTTTCGACGAGTGCGGAGGGCAATAGTATTTCTGATAGTGCGGTTCATCATCATCATCCTTCGGCTCCGTTGTTGAATAAGTCGATTTCGACGTCTGCGGTTGAGAGGGATAGGGATAGGAGGAAGACGCTTGGGACTGCGAGGAAAACTTTTGAGGGTGATGATGATGCTGGGACACTTTCGTATGGGAGGGGTTCTACTGCGAATGCTGCTGATAGAAGTGCTGCGTCGACGATTTTGCCGCAACATGGAAATGGAAAGAGGGAACGGAGGAGGACTGTTACGGATATTTGGCCGAGGCCGTGACTTGTGAGATCCATTGTGAGTTTTTATTTTGCTTTTACCTTTGTGGGGGGGGATTCTGATGAGAGGTTGTTTTTCTAGTTTCCCCCGTTTTGAGATTCTTGTACCATCCATCCTTAGACCTGCGTTTTTCTCTGTGAACAGACACTCATTATTTCACCAAAAGGCTCTTTTTTTTTTGCCGAACTTTTCTTTTCTTCTTTTCTTTCTTGTTCATATGTCACCCATGCACGCGACTGTGATTTTTTTCTTCTCTTCCTTTCTTCTCATCTCTCTCTCTCTTCCTCATGATGCACGTATTCCACGCTTGATGCACGAAGACGGCGAGCAGAGGCTCGATCCCATGCCCCCCTCAAGTAGTATTGTATTTATTTTATTCCTGATGATTTGGCGCCTGTCGTACAGTACTGTACGTAACAACCTTAATGGCATCTATGCGAAACGAATTTGCGTGTTCTGTGTGCTCTATGCGAAACGAGTCTGTTCTATGTGCTAAGAAGGATGGAGTGAGCGCCTTCACATCGTAACCGATCTTGGACTGCATATAAGCTCTTGGTTATCGATTAAGAACCGTAGAAAGTGATAACAGAAACTTGGAACATGCGGCACACATCCACGCTCTGTCAAACTATGCCGTACATAGCTCTGTCTGAATCCAGGGTCAGTGAAGAGGGTGATTTGGGTGAAGATGTGAGCAGAATGTTTGGTTTCAACACTAAAACCAAACAGATTCGGATGTGATTTGGTCCTTCAACACCACCACCACCGTGAAGCTCGACTGTTCTGGGATTCTTTTGCTATCTATCATGATGCAGCCCATCTTTGCTTCCTACAGCCAGGAGTTAGACCGCCCTTTAGGCTTCTCGAGCATGATCACCCTGATCCCACGCGTCAGAGGTCCTCCCCACGTGTGGACGTCATGTTCTCTTCATATATCGACCTTATATCATCTACAGACTTGAGCGTGTAACATGTTCACATCCTCTCTACCTCCCAGCTCCCCCACCACCGGCTGAACCCCCCACTTGTAAAGGTTTTCTTCAACTATGCATCTATACTTCTTCCCTCGGAATCCCCTGCATAAACTTGGGTTCTTGGGTCGATTGTTTTTTAGAGGAGGGCGCTTACTCAAGCCTGCTGACGCGGGGAAGGGGGCGTGCATGGCTAGATCTCAAATCCCTACTACCACCCCTTCTTTCTATGACAACGAGATCGGTATCAGGGCGAACTTTGCAGGGGAGGTCTTTCGCGATCCCGATTATTACAAGGACGATTCGGAGGGAGGGTTTTGTGTTTTTCGTGTGCAAAATACTTTGTTCAAGGTGATTTAATTTGCCCGAGTTTTCTTTCGATTTTTGAGCTCATTTTTTTTTTGGTTTGACTTTAGGTCCATCGATGTTTTTTGTTGAGGGAACCTTCTGCGTTTGTGGATATGTTCAGCATGCCACAGCTTGATGAGGCTGTTGAAGGCAGATCGGACAATAGTTCTATTGTTTTGACGGATACTGTTGAACAGTTTCGGGATTTTCTTTGGGTGCTTTATGCGCTGTAAGTGTTGAGACGTGTCCATATTTTTTGTCACGACTCATAAAGGTCAACCCAGCCCGAGTGAACTGATCAACGTTGAGGCCCCTACAGCGCCATCGCTCGAGCGCCTGATCAATATCGCCACAGTGGCGAACAAATATTGTTTCGCTTCGTATGAATCGTGGGCTCTTGACCGCATCTTCACACTGGCCCAAGATCCAGTGGGGTTCTTGCGCAATGACTCTCCGGAAATATGTTCCATGGTCCTCAACCTGGCGGTGATTTGCGATCATCAGGGCCTAGTCGACCTCGTTACACAGCGGTTGATTGCTCGTATATTGTGGTCGAGCATCGACCACGACTCTATATTGGATGTCGCGAGGACGCATGGCCTGAGGAAACTGGAGGGCGTGGTGTACTACAAACAACTCATCAACATAGAGCAGGCCTCTAGCGACGGCAGAATGACATCGCAGCCTGTCTTTTCCACATCCATGAACGTCGAAAAGCGCATGGGTTTCCTCGCTGCGCACCATTCCCTTGTTAATCTTTGGGAACATCTTCGGACGACGCCGCCGCTATTCCACGCAGGTGGCTGTCCATCTCACTCTTCGTGTATTACGGCTTGGGGGCAGGCGTGGATAAAAGCGGGGGGCGCAAGCCAGACGATGCGATGTGGCTCTGCGGATGTTCTGGGGCGGTTGAAGTCTATGATGGTGATTCTGCGAAAAAATCTTACGGAGACGCAAGCTATGAGCATTCCGTGTACGCTGGCCGCACTGGAAGCGATCACGATGACTAGGGACGACATTGTCTCGGACTTGATGGATCACTTTTGTGAATATTGATTCGTGGGCTGGTGAGTTCTTTCTTGAGGATCTATCTCTACGTGATACTAAACCTCGTCACGATTGTGATAGATTATGTAAAATTCAAGTCTATAGGTTGTCCATCGGGCATACTGGACTTTACTTATCGCGGGGGTTACTGCGCTCCATGCAATCACGAGTGTTAGGCTCTGGAACTAGAAGTGAGGGAAATAGCTACTGAAGGACTCTATCAAGATACCATGTTCCTGTGACTGCTGCTATAAGGTCCGTTCTTCCCTGCACACGGGGGTACATGAAAGCAACGTTCCTTCAAAGGTTGTACAAATTTGTATGCACGTCACCCATTACCGCATCAGCCTCAATCAAAATCAATTTGAAGCCGATAGCACAGCTTTGGGTAGCTTGGCGCCATGACGCAGCCGCCGCCCCGAATGTTATTCCTCGAAAATCCTCCCGACGACATCGTATGGGACATATTTCACTGCCTCGTCGTTGGAGCCTTCTGCCGGGGCTTATCCGCAGGCGTGCATACCACTGATTACGCCAAACCCCAAAGGGATCAGTTCTATTTATAGGTCAGCAACGTTGTCTCGTGCGACATTTCCTGTCTGAAAAGGATATAAAAAGCCTGCCCACTCCTGCCCGTGATTGCCCACTAAATTCCCTATCCTTCACCATGGAGAACGCTACTACCACCGCACCGTCCAAGGCCATGACCAACCAACCGAGGGCCTCCACTGAGATGAGTGAGTACTAAGGCTGACTGTCAATGAGCTCCCCTCTCCTTTGTCTCATGATGTTTGATAGAGGTGATGAGCGTTGCTGAGGGTGCTGTGGGCAAACAGGCCCACTGCGAACACCAACATAAGGCCTCTCGTCTTCGTGGTGGGAGTGCTGGAAAGGTACGATGATCGCCACCTCGTTGCATGACGTCGCTGAACGTTTCTCTACCCCCGTAGGACTGCTTCCTTGGTTTGGTGGGGTGTTTCTTGTGTTTTGGTGAGTCCGTCTTCATGCACGTTTGCCCCCATGTTCCTGATTGTTCGTCTCTCAGAATGTTGCGAGGTTCGTGGGCGGTCCAATTACTATCTTGATGCTGGTCACCTGATGTATGTACTAGGGATGCTGCGAATGTGTCGGGGATATCTTATGTGAGTCCGTTGCGCCGCCTGTCAAGATTATGTCGAAACTAATTGTATTGTGATATGTACAGGCTGTCCTTGCGAGATGTGTTGCTGAGCTCGTGTATTTTTATTTTGCAACTTAATGCCCTGTATATACCATGGGAGCTTGGAAGCTATGGAGTAGGAATCAGGAAGAACTTTTGGACACTGTAGAGGCTTCTGACATCAGTGATGATCAATGAGTGTGCATAAAGCAGAAGATGCCGTTGGCTGTGCATTGGGCGCGCTGTGGGGTGACCTGAACACCAGCCGTTATCTTTTCAGGGTTGCTATTATCGTAAGGATGGGAGTAGACGGTGGTAAGTACTGTGGGAGGGGAACAGTTACTACGATAATGACGACGTCGGCCGGGCCGCATGAGGTCCGGGTTAACGTTGATCATGAGCGTTGTGAACAACAACGGTCTTCCGCCAACTTCGAGGTGATACTGATCGTCTCTTCTACAAACTACCACGCAGCCAGCCCATATGAAACCAACTCAAATCCCGAAGAGATCGAATCCTCAACTAGATAAAAAGCGAGGATAAGACGGCATGAAAGTTGTACGAGTCATTTTGACCGCATGGCTCGGATTGTTGATAAAAATTATTTTACCGGAACAGAAACGTCCTCTCTCTCGACGCCCATCATGAGTGCCGTTGCGGTACGAGAAACTCCAGTCGACGACGACGACGACGCTCACCAACAACAAAGGCAAAAGAGGACTCCTCTCCCCAAATTCCAACTCTTCGTGGTTTTTTTCGCTCAGTTCTCAGAACCGATAACTGCCATCGTGATATACCCCTTCATCAACCAGTTCGTGCAAGATACAGGTATCACGAATGGAGATCCCCGGAAAATTGGCTATTATGCTGGAATTTTAGTGAGAGGTTTCTTCACATGGGCGTTTTTGGCAGATATTCAATTGGAATGGTTGTTGTAGGAATCCGCATTTTTCTTAACGGAAACGCTGACTGTGTTTCAATGGGGGTATCTTTCAGACCGCCTTGGGCGTAGACCCATCCTGCTGCTCGGTCCACTTGGACTGACGTTTGCTATGCTTGGATTTGGGCTTTCGAAGACGTTTTGGCCGTTGGTTATATATCGGTGTTTTCAAGGAGTTTTCAATGGCAATATTGGTACGAGCTCATTAATTTGCAGTGGAGTTTATCCTCGCTTACGCTTCTTGGGCTCAGGGGTAGCCAAGACGGTTATTGGAGAGGTGATTTCATATGGCTACTCATCGACGTCTAGGAGTTGACTTATCTTCGGACGTCCTTCTAGATAACTGACCCTACTAATATCGCTGATGCATTTTCGCTGTTCCCATTGGTGTGGGGAACTGGAACCACACTTGGGCACGTTTGCTGACTCTGTTGCCGCTTCAATCCACTTCTGACCTTTTCGCATCTAGTTCGATCATCGGTGGCGTCTTCACCAGCCCATCGGACACATGGCCTGATACGTTTGGCAGAATCCGTCTGCTCAGAGAACACCCTTATTTACTTCCTTGCATGGTAGCAGCTTGTATAGCTTTCGCCGCTTTCTTGACCACATTCATTTTCCTGAAAGAGGTGAAGAATGCTTGACTTTTCGAGTTAGTCATTTATATTGATCATCAACCAGACTTCTCCTGCCGCGATCCAGCGACAAAAGATCAAAAAGCACCAGCATCACCTTTCCAGACAACCCAGCCATACAACGACACTTTTAGACCATAGCGACTCGCGGGATTATGGCACCAACGGCGCATCAGTACCAGGAGATCTCGAGCCTGCTCACGTCGCCCCGCCCGTCAAACCCCCACCTCTTAGTGCCCTTCTCGTCCGCCCCCTTCTTATGACGTTCTCGAGCTACGCCTTCCTTTGCTTCGTCGACATGAGCTATTCAGTCCTCCTCCCCCTTATCTGCTTCACCCCCATTTCTCTGGGTGGGCTCGGAATGAGTCCATATCAGATTGGCACCATGATGGGCGGTGTCGGGCTCGTGAATGCTTTTGTCCAAGTCACTATGCGCGGGTACTGGGTCCGCAAGTTTGGTGCTAGGAAAACCTTTATCACTGCTTTCTCGCTATACCTTCTCTCATTTTCTGCGTACCCCATTGCAATCTTCCTCGCGCGTCGGAAAGTGGGGATGGGTACGAATGTGGGGCTTATTGTCCTTTCACAGTTGGTATCCAAGTTGTCGACGTCTACTTGCTATGGTAAGCCTTCTTCCCCACTTTGCATGTGCTCTGTAATCTGATTTGTGGTGTTTTTGTTACGTTGTACAGGATCAATGCATGTTCTCATCGTGGAGAACTGTCCTTCGAAAGCTTCGTTAGGCTCTACGAATGGTATTGGACAAACGATATCGTCTGGGATGAGATGTGTAGCTCCAACCATTGCCTCCTCGTTGTTCTCCATTTCGCTTCAACAGAACATCGCAGGCGGTAATCTGGTGTTCATTGTCTTTTTTGGGATAATTTTGGCTGGGATCTGGACGTCGTTCTTGCTACCAATCAAGACTATCTAAAGACGGTAGCGCATGTAATTTCGTCACATTTACACAAGAAACCTCGATGTAACGACATTAACATTTGACCTTCAAGACCAGAGTGATGCAAGTTGACTCTGCCTGTGATCATCTGCCATCATCTGGGTGGCCTATAAGACGTTTGTCGTCTATTTCTATGGAAAAACCCGGATCCCAGGCTTTGTAGCTCGCTGAAACCATGAAGGAGCACAGCGTACGGGTCATAAGATACTTACTCAACGGTTTCCTGGTGCGATCACTCGTTGGTATTCCTATTGAGCCCTGATTACAATAAATAGAGGCCTTGAGAGAGCCTGACATCAAAAGTTTTGCAGTTGACGATGTAAAAGTGTAAGTACTTCGCTTCAAATCATTGGATTCCACTGGGCTCGTGATCGAGAACTCGATTGAGTATGTAAGCAGCCTGTAACAGTACCGTAAAGCATGTCTTCTAGGATCACTGCAAAAGCGCCTTACAAGAAGGTCATGGGGTAGCCGATAAGCGATCTAGTCTTTTGACTAGATCCTAATCATCTTCAAGTGGAGGAGCTGGCAGCTCCTCACTGAAAAATGTCGGCCTCAACGTCCCCTGACTGTGCAATGTGCAACAACCCCGCCACTTTCAGTTGTTCCAGCTGCCATTGTCGCCCCCTCTACTGCAGCAAGTCCTGCCAACGTGCTGACTGGAAACTCCACAAACTTCTCTGCAGCTCTCGACCCTCGTTCGAAACGCCTCCAACTGCCTCCTCGCGGCGCGCAATTGTCTTCCTCACGAACGGCGAGATAAATTTCACTTGGGAAACAACCGAAATGGTGGCCGACGATGAGTCGGACGACGGTGGAAGCTGGGAGTCCCCTGTCGGCCTTGAAAAGTACTTTGATGGCAAGCGCCCAAATATACAGACGTTCTATGGTAACTCAGTGCGTGGGCGCAAGCTCAAGGACCATATCGATCTGCGTTATAATGATGATGCTATGTTGGACGGTTCAGAGAAGAATTTGGCGGTGTGTAAAGTTGTGCCGGGCATGGATGATGGCGGGGCTGTATGGCGGGCTCCCTTGGTGGCGTTGAAGCAGACAAACAGTTGGCTTAATAGTGAACAGAGATCGCGGGTGAACGAGACACCTGGCTATGGACACCTGGATATGGGGGATTTTAGAGAGGTAGTGGACTATCTGACAGGTTGGAAACGGGCGACGGTAAGCTACAACAATTTAACTCAGCCGCGGGAGACGTACTCACGCAATTCTTTTTGATCTGTTTTTGTGTTTTTGTTCTTTGTGGGGCGTGCTGCCTTATCTACGTCATGTATTACCTCGCGGCTGCAAGATCGAGGAACGGTTACTGTTGGATGGTCTAGTACGCAGCAGTACACAAGGCTAGCTTGAATTTGACACATCTAATCGGTCAGTAGTGTAGACTCGTAACCAGCAGTAAAACGAGATGTCGCGGGAGATGGAGAAGCTCGATTACATTCTGCGAGAGGGAGCGGTCACCGAAGTCCATACATCCAATCTCCAGATAAACTCAGCTTGTTTTATCTCGTCCCGCCTTGGTTACAATAGAGGCCTTGAGACATCAAAAAAATTGCGGTTGACGAGGTAGAAGTCTAGCTTCGCTCCACAACATTTTGTCGTTAGCCATTATGTCCACTGGGCTCGTGATTGCGGCACTGTTAAGCAAAATTAGATCGGTATCAAGTGAGCAGTATGCGGATTGCAAGAGCGTTTCAGGCGCGAAAGAGTAGTCGACACTCTTCTCCGGTTCCGGTTGATTTTGTAATGTTATTTGTTGAGCTGACAGAAAAAGGGACAATTTTAGAAGATCAACGCAAAAAGTGGGAAGAGGGCATACCATGTCCGAAACCACTGAGATAAAGGCTCCAATTCGCAACCTTTTTCTTCTTATCGTTCCAATTACACCCATGAGCGAGATTATCACAACCAAGTATATCTTGTTTTTTCTAATGGTCGGTCGCGGTTCCGAATCGAGGACAGACTTGATATCTTCAGTTCCATATGCAAGGCGCCAGAAGTAAACATTTTCAGGCTTAACAGCTGGAGATAACCGTTGTCAAGACCCTGACAATCATTGTACATGAGGAGGATTTCGTACCTCCGTGCATGATACCAACCTTATGCAGGGAATCTAGTGCCTCGGCGACGGTTGCGACGATGCGCTGAATGGCATGGACAGGCAGACGCTCGTGATCCGCCTCATGCATCAGTGCTTGGACGGTGGTGCTCATTGGATCTAAGACAAGACAGAGATGTGAGCCAGCTCGGGTTCCCTCCCAGAAGTCGGTGTGGTAGACTGGAACGGGTCCGCCCCTGCACGCAAGATCGTGGACGACCTTGAGGATGGGACTTCCACGGTCTTCGCATGCTCTGAGGCGGCGATAGTGTAGATCTTGATCGCGAAGTAGTTGTCTTTGCCCCGGACAAGCCATGTAGATGATCGAGAGCCATACCCCAGCTTGCGGACAATTTGGAACTTTCCACCGTTGAGTTTTTGACCCATTTTGGCGGAGAAGTAGCCTCCGCCCTCTGAGGGGGAGAGATCGAGGGGTTCTTCAGGATACATGGGTTACGATTGACGAAACCATTAGCAGTGGATCTTATGGCCCACTGTTGATGCCTTCTGACTCGAAAAGACTTCGCCTCCTCACGTGATATGTTGGTAATCAAGTGCATGGCCAAGGGAGGTGGTCTACAATCTGAATAATGGCAAACGAGAGGGTGCTGGGATTCTTGGGAAACGCCGCAGCAAGACCTGGTCTTGGTCCTACCGCCACGTTCCTACACCTTATTATTGCACAAAATGCGGGCGTATTAGGCGCAGTATGTCTTCGTAAAGACAAAAAGAGGACTCGCCCCAAATCGGTCTTCCAGATGCGGCTTTTGAACATCTGTGGTGGGCTGAATTCTGGGGTCCTGTCGTCGGTCAGATTTACTGGAGGATGAGAACACAATGGACCCACCATACTCACGTAAAGGACCCTAGACTGCTGCAGTGCAGAAACCACCCCACCAGCGGACGAACATGAAGGCAGCTTGAGTTCGAATGCGCTTCAATCTGCGCGATACGGCGGTCTGTGTCTGTCACTGCCTGCCTTTCATGTCGGACTAAGAAGGTTTAGTACCAAGCCAGCTTTAAGCGTCGTGGTCCGCAACGAGCGTAGTCTTGGAAGTTCTTGCAATGTATACCTCTGAGCGGCAGAAGAGGTACGAGAGGTCGGCATGAAGCCAGACAACTTGCCACGCAACCCCAGATCACTCAATCCTCCCCCGTATCGTACCTACGTTTATGAAGCCTTACTGGCTTCAAACCCGCATGTTTTTCAGCGAATTGAGAGGCTTCGTCTTGGAAACCAGTTTCTTCTTATATCGTGGGCGTGCATGTCGTTCAAGTGCCGGGTTGTCAAGTAGATCATTGGGGCTATCATGTCAACGAGTTCCCGTTCGAATGAGGTATGTTCGGAGGGTTCACGTTCAACGAGGCCGTCATCGGAAAAGGGACTAGTAGGATAAGGGTGTAGAGTGTTCACGGGGTTGTTGATGGAAGGCTAAGAACCGGTTACAACAGCAACACCTAGGAAAGCAACACCAAATGTTTAGCCAAAATCTGGCGATGACAGAGCAGGATCGGCTCAAGCACATATTGCGGAGAAATGAACCTCCAAAGCTTCATCGGGTATTGATCAAACGGAGGCGTCTGAACGCTGACTACTTCCTTCTCCTCAGTGGAGGGAGATCTCTGAGGTGGTAATTTGGCACACCTTATCATCCTCATGATTTTCGTTTCAACACCAAAGAACAGCGTTGCTCGATGGCTTCACAATTTCTCAAGCCTCAACACATCTAGGTGCGTCTGCCGCTTGTGCACAGGGATGGGCGCGACGGAATTTGCCAGTAGAGCAGCAAGTAGCTCGGGGAGAAGGTCCGGCCCATCGACCTCAAACGGCAAGGTGGGTCGGTGATGAGAAGTTTGCCGATCTCAGCTCCAAAATACATCGCTAAGCTTTCTGGTAGGAGTCGAATGAATGCGAGCAGGACATTGAGTGTCGAGAGTTTCACAGCTAGCCATTCATTAAAGTAGTCAATGCACAAGTGCCCCGACTGTGGGCAATAGCCGTGGAGTCTCCGTCGAAAGCACAGGGCTCCCCACCCCTCGCCGACCAATGCTTCCACCCCACCCCGACTTGATTATTTCCAATGGCAAAGAGCGTTGCAGCTCGACATTGGTGGGGAAGGACAAAGGGGATAACAAAGACGCGGAAACGCTACCCCCCGTAGTGGCCTGGCGAAAACAAAGCGCCTACGCGATAGTGTTGGCTTCTCCTCAACTTTTCTCGAGAGTGCGTTTGGAATGGTCTTCTCTGGAAGGTGGGGCGCTTGTTCTCTTTTTCGTCTTTGACATCTAGATGTATCGTCACTAGAAATGTCATTGGAGGTGAGAGCTTGTCCTCGGGAGTGCGTACGTGTGTGGAGCGACAATTCGAGCGTTCAGGCCAGGGCGAAACAAAACGGCCTACGCGATGTCCTAGTGCTTGTGGTTGGTTTGGGAAAGTGTTGTAGCACAGCCACAGACCATCCTGTACTTCCTCCTTCCTTGCGGCTTGCTTATTCTGAATCCGTGATGTCTCGTCACTTCTTCCAAATATTGTGGGGTCTCCAGGACAAAAAAGCGGGTCCTACATTGGTCCTACCCGCCGCCGTCATGCAGTTGAGCATAATTAAAATACGCTTATCTTTGTCAAAAGCGTTCTCGGACTTCTGTAAGACATTCAGAGGCCCATTTTCGTTATCGGGTTGGACGGTAGTCTCTTAGCACATTTTTACTGCTTGACGACTAAAGCAAAAACCAAGGGATGGTTCCTCGTGCACTCCTCGTGGCCAGTCCCCCAATCCAATGACCATTCACTTTTGAGCGCCAAATCTCAGGTTTAGAATGAAGTTCATATCGATAGAGCGATATCACACTCTTCACACCTTCAAACTTTCGGAAATCTACGAGATCTCGCAGAGTTCCTCCGCAGAAGTCCCGCAACTGCCTTGACTTCACGCCCTCTCCTTTGTAGCCGTAATCTCTCTCCCCCATCTCACTCCTTGGTACAGACAGCAGAATGAAGAACAAGGCAGGAATTTATACTGGCAATCCTGGCAAGCTAACAAAGCTCCAGCCATCCCTTGCTATGGACGATATCATCATTCCGTTAGTGATGTTAACTCTATCTCAGGATAACTCTTCATCAATCCCTCCTCTATGATAGCATTATGGGCCCGTCTGGAGTTGGGAAGAGCACTGTAGGTCTTAATCTGGATGATTATGCCTTTCGCGTAAAGTGACCCTTTCAGTTTATCAATCGTCTTGCAGGGAGAGACGACGTTGTCAAGGTTGGACACGACCAGACAAGCTGCACCACAGAACTTCAGCCGGTTGTTATCGATCCGCCGTCTTCAATTTCGCTGCAAAACAGAAGATTGGTGCTGGTCGATACTCCTGGATTTGACGAAACTTTCGCAACGGAATCAGAAACCTTGAGGCGCATTGCTTCTTGGCTTGCGAATGCGTCAGTTTATAACATTCCAAATTGTCGCAGTAATTCTTACCCCATGGCAGCTACAGCGCTGATACGAAACTTAGTGGCGTTATCTACCTCCATGACATTTCGTCAGCCCGAATGAAGGGGACGAGCGTGAGGAATCTTGAAGTTTTCCGAAAACTTTGTGGGGATCGCGCTTTGCGAAGTGTTCTTCTTGGTACGACGAAATGGAACCAATTGGAACGCCATTCCGAAGGAGAAGAACGTGTAAAGCAACTACGTGATGAATTCTGGAGGGCAATGATTGAACATGGGTCGATTGTGCATAACTTTGAAGGCACGCCGGAATCAGCATGGGAGATGGTGGATGCGGTTCTTGCACAAGTTGCATGTGATGTGATCATCCCGTATGTGACTCATCCTTTGTGAAAAGTCGCTAAGCCTATTCACTATTTCAGTGTTATTGGCGTCACTGGCGTCGGAAAAAGCAAGGTAATTGACTCAGATCTTTCCACCTGTTTTTCTACTCACTACTATAGTTTGTTAATGCCCTTGCTGGAAGGAATGCAGTCGCCGTCGGGGATCCTGGTGATATAGAACCATGCACCTTGGAGGTTCAGCCAGTCACCGTTGATTGGCCGATCCTGGCCCACAGTCGAAGTCTTTCACATCGCGGTAGACTGATCGTTGTGGACACGCCTGGGTTCGACCGGCCTCATATTGAAGATTCTGCAACACTGAAAGGTATACTTGACGACTTGACAAGCAGGTGAGTTGCTCTTCTAGCACAACAAGCGATGCACTCATGAAAAGGTCAGGTATGGCGCAGGTACAAAGCTTGGTGGCATCATCCATCTTCACGATATAAACCGACCTCCGCACAGCACGTTCCACAAGTATCTTGATGAATTTCATAAAGGCTGCGCGGAACCAAAAGCACTTATTCTTGGCACCACGAAGTGGGGCCGTAACATTAAGGATGGTCAAGGGAAGTCCAACTCGAATAGTGAACAGGAGCATCGGGGCACTGTACATCCTGGGGAGCGTCACCTGAACAACCTCAAGGAGGGTTGTTGGAAGACGTTGATTGATGCCGGCGCGAAAGTCCACAAATTTACAGGGAGCCAAGACTCCGCTCTAGAGATGGTCAAGGAGATACTCGCCGACTCAAATCCACACCGAACAGAGGTCCTTCAGATTCAAGAGGAATTGGTTCGCGCGAAAAAACTGATTCCCGACACAGAAGCGGGCAAACATCTGCAACAGAGTCTAAACCAGCTGCTGAAAACGCTTGATAATAAGAAACGCGCGACAACCAGCCTTGATCCTGACCAAATTGCCAGCATTCGCGCACAGATCAAGGCATTGCAGATTCCACTTTCTCAACGGGTCTCAAGATTCTTCGACGTTGGAGTTGAAAGGATCCTGAATGGATTAAGAGGTTAGAGACTGGGGATTTGCAATCGTGCGCCCTTGTCCCAACCCATTCGGGGAGTGTCTTAGTGGCACCTGGGTACAGAAACCAGCCGTTATGATATGTAATTGGTGTGTTAATAGTCCTGTGGTAGTAGTCAAAGTTCTAGCTTCGGCTTTTTCAAAATGGTCTTGTAACAGGTGTTTGTTAATCACAACACATTTCCATCCTACTCCTCTCCTGCAATCGTACCTTGGCAAATGTTCTAAGCAGGCGTTCTGCCTCCTCCCACATCATTGCGGTTTCTGTTGCATCCTCAGGATCCCTATTTGGCGAGTCCCGCCAATCGTTGTCAAAAGTGATCGATTCGATTCCGGGGAAAATATCGGAAAGAAAAGCGGAAACTATAGCTGGGGTATTGATGGGAGAGTCTGCGACAGATAGGGTGGTCAAAGTATTATTGAAGAGACCAGGACTTGACCTCAGCTTTGTATTTTGAGCATCAAAAACGATGCCAAGGTACTCCAGCTTAGGACAACGTTGTGCGAAGGGAATGAGGTCCTCTGTTTGTATGATCGGTGATCTTGACGATGGATATGTATTGCCAAGTTCGAGGCTACGTATCTTGGGCCAGGCATCAGCTAATCTGTTTACTGTGTCACCCGTAAATTGAATGCCAAAAGTAGGCTGGATATCAACAACTTCAAGATTTGTAAACACAGTCAAGGCCTCGAGTCCAATGTCAGAATAGAGTGCTTCTGTGGGGTCCAAGGCATTGCCCGACCCTTGTAAAGTAAGCTCATTCAATGAAGGATGGTAAATGTGGCGACTGATGGTACTGAAGAGCTCCCTCCACTGACGAGGATAACAAAAACCCACAACTTGAATTTCGAGATCCTCGATGGGACTAGAGGATAGGAGCTGTACAAAAGCGATCGCTGCATCCATCGTCCTACAGGAGATTGATAAACTTCGAAGGGCAGGGTACCCACCAGTTGGGTTGCGCGTAATGATCGGCAAGTGTTGATCATCACTACGTGTCAAATCTTCCAGAGAGTCAAGAGAAAGCGTTCGGAGGGATGGGATTGTTGCGAGATGCTCGAGAGCTTCTTGCGTCAAATTGATGACCGTTAAAGACTGAAGCCAGTTCCATTGGCAAATGACAGAAGAAATACCCCGTCGATTTCCTTCATCGGAGTTGGAGCATCGGAAAAGAAAAGTCAAATTTTTCAGGGCTGGACAAGAGTTGATAAGACCAGAGAGGATGGAGGAGGGACATGCACTGTCGAAGATATTACACAGAGTAATGGATAATGTGGTGAGTTTGGGAGAGGAGAAGAGATAGATGCACTGAAACATCGACCATTCCACTTCTTTCGGAAGGTATGCATGATACCACGAAAGGTCTTCAAGATTTGGAAGGAGGGGTCTCATATGCAATGTTGCCATGCTTAGAGCTTGCAGAGCCTCAACGTCAACAAAAGACTTCAAGTTTAAGCCCAGATGAACTTTGCGTATTCGTTGGGTGTAAGATGGCAATCTTGTCAAGTCACAGAGTAAGATTGGCCTGCGCAAACACTTTGGGTTGAAAAAAATGAGAATGATTCCACTAAGATATATTTGAATTCACCAACGTACCAATACGTGAACCTGGTGGGACCAATCCTTTGCCTTCATCTCAAACAGGTCGGACGGCATCGTGCAGAGAAGCGGACGTAGCCCATCGATCTCACGCCAAAGAACATTGAGAGCTGGCCCTTCGAAGGCACGACATGTGCGAGAAAGGGATGCCAAAGTCGCTGGTCGTTGAACTGGCCGCGTTTTGTTGTCATGCTTTAGGATCTCGCAAACCAAGCTAAAGAGCTCAGGAACAAGAAGGCATCGATGAACCATCGCTTTCGCTGGAACTTTGTTAACAGTATTTCGAGGTGAGGTTGCTCAAGTTGATGTTTGATTTTATGTATGTAAGTTGAAGTGGTGACAAAGTCTGAAGATCTGAAGCTTGAAGCCCAGTGAAAACCAGGCTCCTAAAAGCAGCCACTCGTATCGCTCGATGAGTCTCTTCATACAAGCTTTAGACCCGTTCCTCCAGCACTGGTCACAGCTTGCCGGGGGCAAGCCCCCTGGACCCCCTGGTACGCATGTTGAATCCGATTCCCCAGCAAACGCCGCTCACGCGGCTGAGGATGGTCGCTTATGTAAAATTATTATGTAACATTAAAGCTGATTAGTCATCAATTGTGTTTTTCTCTTCACAAGCTTTAGACCTGCACCTACGGCGCAGCACTCGCTAACACTCGGCATGCCTTTGGTGCTTGGTCACAGCTTGCTGGGGGCAAGCCCCCTGGACCCCCCAGTACACATGTTTAATCCCAGTTCTGGTAATTCCAGTTCTGTTGTGCATGTTTCATCCCAGTTCTTATACTTCAGGTAGGGGTGCACATTGGATCCGAGGGCCATTAGATAGGTTCTACAGTGGCCTCTTGAGTCTTGACTATTTATGTACTTACAGCAAAATGGCTGAGCAAATTGATGTGTTAACTGATAAACATTTGAGGGGACAGACAAAGGCTACAGGAGTCTGGCATTGTCAAAGTGCCTATAACTTAAGCTGCAGAACTTTCACAAACACAATTTACCTAAGTATCCCATGCTGCTAAGTTCATCCTCAGAATTCCTTATGACATTCAACTTTAAACAGGTAAAATTGAAGTGTATTTGATAACTACATAGGAAGTATTCTACTACATTAAATGTTTAAGGAAAGAGGGATGTTAAAAAGAAGGGGGATGGACAGGCAGTGGTGAGCCTTATCATCATTCGTGGTTGTGGTGCCGGGCACTCATCGCCCATCCAGGGTAGTGGTGCTGGTCCCTCGTCCGTTGTTGTACCACATTGGCATCACATCGTCGTCATTGCTGTTGTTGTCACATCGTCGGCCCCTCTGCATCATGTTGTGCCCTGGTCCCTCGTTGGCCCTTGTCCTGGTCATGTTGTTGTTGTCTTCATTGTCCCGTGTCCTCGTCGTGTCATTGGGTCGTGTTCTTGTCGCATCATTGTCCTGTGTCCTCCTTGTTATGTCGTCGTCGTCCCATGTGGCCGGTCCGTCGTCGTCCTGTGTCTCAGCGAGGTGGGTAGGGATGAACGTGGGACAGGGGGTATTCACCGTGTTTTCGTAGTGTCATTGTCCCGTGTCCTTGTCTTCACCCTTGGCTGTAGTCGTTGCCCTACTCACCCACATTATTGCACTTAATGCTTTGCCATTTACCATGCATTCAAGCCAGGGGTCTGCAGCATGCACTGGCACATGGCTTTGGCCTAGGATTTGTTGGGGGGCTTTTGGTAAACATATATCAACAATCTCTTGTTTCCCTCCAAATATATAAAAGTAGACGAAACACCAAGTTCCTCTGTTGGAAAAATCACAGAACATTGGAAAACAAATCTACTAATATAACCAAATGGGCCAAGACCTATTCCCCCACTTCTTTCTGACTGGAATAGCTGGATGCGACTTACCATGTTCAGATGACGAGATCTGGCAATAACCAGATCAGCTGGAAGCTCCCAGCAAACACATATAAATACAATAATTTTTGCCCGAACAGCCCGATCGCGCATGAACTCATGTTCCGAATCCTCAATCCTCCTCCTCCACCAACATCTCAAGACTAGGGTCCAAGGCTGTGAGAGGCGCCTCCCCGCTATCCTCATTATCCACCACAGGTACCAGGGGCTTGTCCCACATCCTCGTGAAATGGTTCAGCAAATCCCTCCGCACTTGCGTCTGACACATAGCATACGCCTTGATACCTTCTACCGCAGCGGCATCAGCTGTAAAGGGCTCAGTGCGACCCTCCCACTGTCAAGCCTCCCACTCTAGAGTTTTACGGACCCTCCTCATCTCCTCTTTTAATAACTGCACCTCTTCAGACCAACGAAGATAACGCGCTCGTGCCTTGGCCCACTCTATCCTCACAGCTGTGGAAAAGAAAATCAGCCTCTGGAACATACAGATCAGTCTCTACTAACCTTCGTGCAGCACTGCATCTGTTTGATCTCCTGTTGCTGGGGCACGCATCCAAATCCAGGACACAGTGCGGTAACCTTTGCCTAACTTGCACTTGATGATCAATCTCTTCTTTTTGCTCACTTGGCGGCCATCAGGCCCAATTATGTCGTTTGGATCCTCGATGCTGATCTCGGTCCCATCTGGCGTGGTCAAATCCTTGTGCGACAGCTCCCTCAGCTCATTCTCCCAAGCCCCCGGTCCTATCAGCTTGAACAACGCTGCTCGCGCTTCGCGATACTTGACGGCGAGGGCCATGCACTTTGTCTCAACCCGTATGATGGTTTCCGATGCTCTGGTGTTTGGGTTTTGGCCACGAATGTTACGGTTGCGGAAGCCAATGAAGGAAAGGCAGCCACGTTGGAGACTTCGGATTTTCTCGAGGGTGTCGTAGCACTGGGCTTGGCGTAGTTTGGTTTCGATAGTGACGAGGTTTGCATGGCAGTTGTGAAGTCTGTGGTCGTCAGGCAGAGCGGAAGGCAGCCAGAGTAAATGAAACTCGACTTCGTCTCGAGTAGTGTTTGCAGGTCCAGTCTACAGGACTGAAAATATACATAGGACTGAACTGGACTGAACCATGGTCCAGTCTTTTTCCAGTTGCAGTTGCCCACATTTGTGGTCAGTGCAGTTGCCAGTTGCCATGTTTTTGTAAATATATAAAAACTGAAAAAGACCGGTTTAGACCGGTTGCAACCGGTCTTTTGTCCCATCACGTGCTGGACCTTACTCGTGCACATTTTACTTAATTTTCGGTCCCTGAATCATCAAAAACGGTCAAGAATTGGTTGAGATATGGCCAAAAACATTTTTATACATGTGATTCAAATGTACATCCTTTCTGTTTTCGCCCTACCTCAGTCAAATCTTGACGGAATTGCTTAGATTTTTAATCAGTCTACGGAGAATTAAAATATCTATCTATGTATGCAATGTACGTGAGGTAATATTTAGTTTCTGTGGTGTAATAAATTTTACAACAAAAGACTGGTCGCAACTGGTCTGGACCAGTCTTTTTCGCGTTGTGGACCGATTAGGACCGGTCCAAAGCGGTCCGGTTGCGGTCCCTCAATATTTGGATCGGTCTAGACCGGTTGCGGTTGCCAGTTGCGTCGTTTTGAGGTAAAAAACTGGACTTAACTGGACCTGCGAACACTAGTCTCGAGCGCGTTCCTCGGCTGGCAGGGCTTTCTGTGCCTCGTCATACTAGGCCATCATCAAAGATGCCGTGGGCATGTAGACAGCCTGTAAATTGCGGAATTGTTTGAGCTGCCGGTGTAGGAGTAGCCGCCGGCGGTGGATGTCGTGCTCT